ATTTCAGACTGAAATGTTTTGTTTTATTATGGTTTATTCAATTTGTGATAATTGACATCTCAGGCTGTTGATATAATAAACAGAGATAAGATTCATAAACTGATGCCTCATGCGAAATGTTATTATGTTTTGCGGAAATCTGTATGTATTTGTGTCGGTTTGTTTGCTTGTGTGTACGTTTGTGGTCCTGTTTGTATGTTTGTAATATAATTTTGTTTAATTGAAATGAGCAAAAAAATAATTTTGTCTCACTCTGTTAGTGAGACTGAGTGAGTGTAGATTAGTAACTCCATGGTGTATGTCAGAAGTATTTCTTTAAATCTAATAAATGACTAACATTTGATATCATTACATTGTCACACACAAATACGCTACGGACCAAGGACAACAGATATCGTCTTCAAACTTTCAGGAAACCGTTATGGAATGATATTTTACAAATGAGTGATAAAAAGGGATATGGTCAACAAATATCAGACTTCTGTCCATATTTATTCACAAATCAAAATAAGCGCTCTCTTTTGTTGGCGTTTTGAGGTATCAAATCACATCACGTGACCTTGCAATGTTCATCAAAAGAAAAATCATGTATTACCCTTTTGAATGATACATAGTACAATAATGTAGTACATCAACAAAAATGTCTGCATTTTTTGGAAAATAAAATATTGAACAAATTAACATTACTGCAAAATAACCTCAGCAGTTGCTAATACCTACTAAAAAAAACTGAAAATTTAAGGGTCAAAAACGTGTACCAAATGCCACTTTTTTCTATTAAAACTTATGGGTTTATAAATGTTATTTTCTACACTCACTATTTTACGCAAATTGGCGTTTCAGCCCTATTTCACGCATGCAAAAGATACCCACTGCCCCTTGGATGTCACAGTTTGTCAGAATGTTATTATTATACTAAGATCAAGTTATGTTCACATGTAATAACATGTACAATTCTCTGTACACTGCACAGTTCATTTATACAATAAATTGAACTGTCTTTTTAACATATTTTTTTTAATTATATATGTTTATAAAGCGCCAATGGCTATACTCGCGGCTCCTACAAAGCGTCTATTGATTTTTACATGGCATTTTCGCACACAGTAAGCAACCGTACGCAACCGTAAGCAACCCTACGCCAGGCCTACGCAAGCGTACGTAACCCTACGCCAATTGCCTACGCACAGGGTACGTAACTATACGCCGATCGTACGCAAGCCTACGCAGGGACTACGCCGAAGCATCAATTTATTCATGAGTACGCAGCTTAACTTCGGCGTAGTCGGTACGCAACACTACGCAACTCTACGCAGATCCGGTGTGAAAGGGGCTTAAGAGTTGTTTAAAATGTTAAGCAACTCTAGTTGTTTAAAGTTTAAACACTTAGTTGATCAACATTTGGAACAACTTATTTAAAATTTGACCAACCTGTTTTATATGCCTATTATACACTGTAGACCAATTACGATTACAATTATATTGTTAATTTTCATTGTTTTACTATGTACAATGCAATCCCATGTATTTTATTTTCTTTTGTTGGAAATGGAAATATACGAAATGAAAAAATGAAACGGTACGTCGTGGGACTGTGGATCACATCGTTCGCGAGTTTCGACCCAGCATTAATGTACTTTGGCAAGGCAATTAGTCTTTATTTTTAACTCTCCACCCAGGTATTGAACATGTTAAATGTGTATAAGGTAGAAGGAATTATTTGACTGCTGTGGTAATATAGTACCAAATAGTCCCTCTGTTCCTCGGATAGAACGTTAAATGGAGGCCCCGTGTAGAGGAGAGTCACCACCTTTGCACGTTAAGAACCTCATACACTGTTCTTATCAGAGTAGGATGAAACCCCGGAGTAGTGGTCCACCTGCACACCACGGTATATACATCTGCAAGAATCTTCAAGCATAGGGGAGGCAGATTATCCGGAAGAAGAAGAAGAAGAAGAATAGTATCAAAATCGGTAGCCTCGGCCCTAGCAGAGCCCGTGTAATATTGGAGCGCCTTGAGCAATTTGCGTGATGGATAATAATGTACACTATATCAATATCCGACATTGTTTTTATTTAAGTAGTAACTTATGACGATTCGGAATATGGCTGAATTCATGCATGGCAATAATTATTATTATTATTTTTATTATGGCTGAACTAATGTATTTGCGGTCATTGTCTCTATGGTGATTAACATCGTAGTATAACCAGCTGTCAGTATTGGAATCATTCTTTTTTTTAAGGGGGACAACCAAAAAGTGCCGACAAAAAATCTCTCTCTCTTTAGCTCTCTTTAATAATATTCCTTGTGTAAAAATATATAAGCGGCTGCAGTTCATACCGCACACCAATGATCTGCAACGATGAACATAATAAGCACCTAAAGCATAAGAATAATATTTGGAAGGAAACCGTTTATCAGCAGCTACGCATCAGATGGTGATCTTGCCGAGATGACTCGACTGACATTGACGTCACAATAGAGAGATTTGATTAAGAATATAAATAAAGGGGAACGGACATATAATTGGGAGAGACAGGGGGGGGGGGGGGGGGGGGGGGGGGGGGAAAGAAGGGATTGGTGAGACAGAGAGAGAGAGAGAGAGAGAGAAAGTGAGAAAGTGAGGGGAGGGGAAGAGTACATGCAGAGATAGGTGGAGATAAAAGAATAGTAGCTAGGATTTTTTGTTTTAATTAAAGAGGAAAGATCAAGAGATATGAGCGGCTGAGAGAAATTAGGTAGACCCAGAGAGGGACAGAAAGAGAAATGAGTGATAGAAACACTCAGGGGCGTACGCAGGGGGGGGGGGGGTTTGGGGGTTCAAACCCCCCCTTTGGTATTTTTATGTATGTAAACCCCCTAAAAAAACCTAAAACCCCCCCCCCCTCTCGTACTTTTTTTTTTTTTTTTTTTTATTATAGGTTTTTCCCGCCCAATTTGATCAGAGTTGCATTCGACTTCATGAATAGGCGTTCAAGTTCGAACGGTTTTCATCAACTCTCTGCTCTCATGGTTCGAGTTCATTCTTTGAGCATTTGATTTAATTTTATATCATTCCTTTTAAATTTTATTTCATTCAATTTAGAGAGAAATCCATTCAATTTAGTGCCGCTAAGTTGTCATTCAATTTCGCGCAAGCTGGATAGACGTTCAATTTCGTGCTTAATACCAATTTCAATTTCATTTATAGGCACACACCTTCGCACTTTGAACGTTCAAATTAAATCAACATAAACAAGTTCTGTAGTTCTATTTCATTTTTACCGCAATCTTTTCACGTCATTTTTTTTTCTTTCACTGTTTTTAATTATATAACTTAATTTTCATTCTTAAAGTTTCATAATGTTTATTTTTTATCATATTCTATATATTTCTTTTCTTTCTAATCTTCTCTCCAAGTTTCACTGTATTTCCTAGCAGTATGGACATAACACTTACAGAATGGTTTATAAATCATAATTTGTTTGCATGACGGTTTGTCAGAAGAATGAGATATTTCACTATAAGGGAAAGGTCCTATTTCAAGGTACATAAAGTTTGCATAATTTATTCAAAGAGATGCAGATTGCAAAGAATATAAACAGTAACAGAAAAAGACTGCCCAAATGCTGTAAATGCTTGCCTATTCGTCAATTTGAATACCCTAACGTTCATCAGGGCGATGCAGGTGCGAAATTGAATGCATTTACTTGCATTTTTAATTTGAACGCGCTTTTTACACGTTTATGTGAGAAAATCATGAAATTGCATGCTTATACAATTAAATTGAATGAACTAATTAGCTTTTTGAATGTTGATCTCGGTGATCATTCAAATTCGCTCGAAATTGAATGATCGCATCGTTAAATCGGATGCAACTCTGATGAAATTGGGCGGGAAAACCTATATTAAAAAAAAAAAAAAAAAAAAAAAAAAAAAAAAAAAAAAAATTATACCCACGATTAACGTAAATAAGGTGACCTTACCCCCCCCCCCCCCCCAACGTAGAAAAATGTCAAATTTTGAAATTTCGAGACCAAAAAAAAAAAAAAAAAAAGTGTCCGCTTACCCCCCCCCCCCCCCCCCCCCCCCCCCCCCCCCCCCCCTCTCCCCCTCACTGAGCGACTTTTCGGCTGGCTGAGTCGTTGCGATTTTTTTTGACCTCCAAAAAAAAAAAAAGTGTCCGCTTACCCCCCCCCCCCCCCCCCCCCCACTGAGCGACTTTTTGGCCGGCGCGATTTTCAAATTTTCGGGGCAAAATATTTTAAAACCCCCCCCCCCCCCCCTTGAAAAAATCCTGCGTACGCCCCTGGAAACACTAATATAAAGACTTTCGAAAATTCCACCAATACCGGCAATTTCAGAAGCATTATCAATATACTGACTTGTGCGAGAAACGATTAAAATGATCTATATTCATATTCAAATTCAAATTCAATTATGATTTATATGGGCTTTACAATGGGGAATAGAAATGCCTTTTAGTTGATTTTGTATTTTGTATGTCTTTTCGACCCTGTTTAAATATTTTTTAAGGGGAAATATAATAATGATCAATGATAACGATGCAGAAAAATCACTATAAAGAAGCCCCCCCCCCTTTCCTTGCACTCTCTTTTTTCTGACTCGTAAGATTTGTGACTAAACCCTAACGAATAATAATGCATGGGTCATACTTAATTCTTTAGACAAACCAAAGAGATACCAATATCTCTTTGGACAAACAGCGCCTCTTTGGCTATTATCGAATGACCCGTGAACCAGCTAGGGAGCCTAATTACCATCGATTGCGCAATCCATGCTTTGTTTATTTGTTCTTCGCCTCGTGTGTTCAGGGCCTTTATTGTCATATACTGTTATATTCAGTTCTGATCTGTTTATCATATACGGCGATGATATTTATAGTGCATATATATAAAATAGGAGTCATTGAAATTATCTATAAATCCTTTATTATACGCTACCATTTTTCAATCAATCCAGCTCCATTGATGCACCGTGATATATCAGGTGACCGATCAGGTGATCAAGCTCTGTATATTTTGTACGCGTTTCGTATATCACATGCAATTCAATGTGCAGATCTAGTAGATAAACAAAGTGGGAGTATTGCGACATCGCTTTGAAATACTACAGCAAAGCGATCGAGGTCTTTGGTATAAATAGGAGTCATAATATTCTTCAGCTACGATACCATACAGCGTGGTGACACAAGTGCTTGATATTTTAAGAGATGTCAGTTTGTTCTTCAGCAGAAATTAGTGGAGAGGTGACTACAGAAAAATGTCCTCGCACTGAGCAAAATCAACCCACACTCGACACTGCAGAAACTAGTCTCGAGCCATCCGTAGACAAGATTGCAGAAAATCCCGAAAGCTCTTCATCTGATAATACAGCAGCCGATTCGTCTGCAACAAAGGCAACGGATTCCATTTCATCAGCTGAAAGAAATAGCCAAGATGGAACAGTAAAAGGTATATTTTATTTTACTAATTTACTTAATTCTAGGAACACATTATCATTATCCTAATAATCATGATAATCTTCTATTTCATGATTTTCTCTCTTAAAATTACATTGTAATTATTTTCAGATAAGCTGCTAGCATAAAACCAGTGAGACGGGAACATCTGTCAGGTTTGATAGGGTTTTACTTATGACTTGTAAGTTGTAGGAGAGGGAGTTTATCAGTCTAGTTTAATATTGTTTACTATAATCTAGAAACAACTTTGACTAATTAAGGAAATCAGGAATGTTTTTTTTGTGATTGTATAAATTAAATCTGCAAGAAAAACAACTGCAATTCCCTCCTCATTTTAGGTGCCAGTCTTTGCCTCAACTATTGTAGAAACTAGTAACATCAGATAATCAAACTCACTGAATAATCCTTCATATTTTTAATTTGCAGAATCAGTAGAAAACTCTGCTCTGTCGGTTGATGGACAGCAGAACTGCGGAGAAGAAACATTAAGCGGTGAAAGCAAGCCAGAATTATCAGCAGCAAAAGATCCAAGCAAACAAGCTCAAGAGAAGGTTTGCTCTTACTTTGTTCGATCTGGTCGGTGTAGCTATGGAAGAAATTGTAGGTTCCTTCACCCAGCTCGGCCTGAGGGACACAGCAGGGAACGGGGATCTACAGCCAAGCCTGATGCTAAGACGCCAGCATCTAGCACAGGAGACAAAGCAACATCCCAACCAAAACAGGTTTGCAAATTTTATGCAAGGTCTGGATGGTGTAGCTATGGTTACAGATGCAGGTTTTCTCACGTGAGCAAAGAAGCTGCTTCCAACGAGGAGTCCGATGCAAATTCTGGATCAGATCAGAAGACCAATGCAACAACAGAGGGCAGTATTGATGATGGTGACATCCTGGTGTCGTCCACATCGCAGCTTTCGATTGATGATGGGGCGGAGGAGCAGCCAGATGAGCGGAAGCGCTCCAAGAGGAAGTCCAAGTCTGCAAAGCAAAAGAGATGTCGGTTCTATGACATGGGGCATTGTAGAGTAGGACAGAGATGCAGGTTCTTGCATGCTGAGAAAGCAGAAACTCTTCAAGAAAAAGATGACACCAATGAAGTTGCTGAAGGTGTGTAGTTTTACATTATTTTGTTATTGATGTGATATCTTTTATTACTTTTCTGATCTTCTCTTTACCTCTTTCTTTAAATCTGTCTTGGCTCTTAATTTTTTAGTTTCATTCCCCTTCTTCCATGATAGACCAGCTTAATTTTCCATCTTTTATGTGCATCCTTCCCTCATTGGTCATTTAATTATATCAGTTGCTATCCATTAATCTTCCATTGACAAAGTGAAATGGTTTTACAGACATCACCTATCTCTCCCAATATTTAAATGTAAATTTCAATAGTTAAAGGCTTAACTTTGGTGTTTTTGTGTTTTGTTCAATACTTCAATTAGTTACAATTACTTATTGTCAGGATAAAGGTCATAATGAAGTGATAAGATGAAAAAATTGAAGATCCCAAATTCCTGATTTTGCATTTCTTCACCAGAACATGCAGCTCCAAAACAAGAGGAGGAAGGAGAGTGGCAGCCGGCACGCAAACCAGCTGGACCGGTCACAAGCCGTCCGTTATCTGAACTGAAGGAAGGTGATGCAGCTAAGATGCGGGAGACTGAGATCACTCAGCTCAAGAGGAGGTTTCCAGGAGACAAGCTTGAAGTGAGCGATGATGGTGATGACAATCCATCGTATCGCTTCACTGTCAGGCCTACTGACCCTGACTGGGTAAGCATAACCACTTGCACAAAGTGATGTTTCTTTTCATTTGAGGTACCATCAAACATTTAAAGGGCTTTACCATAGTAGATATATATATATATATATATATATCTCCTTTAAAATTTCCATTTTATGTTACTTTCTCTCCAGTGAATTCACAAAATGCTCTCAAATAACATAAGCACAAAAGAAGCGTATTACCCTGTTAAAATCAGGGTACGCATTGAATTTATTACTGAACCTAAATTCCATTTCTCATGCATTTTGTAATAGAGCAAATAAAAATCCACAATTCAATTACTTTTATTTAACTGTAGAAGGTTAAATATTGCCTCTAACAATATTGAACCCTCAATGTAAGATATGAAGTGATGAAAAAACCAAATTTATTGTGAAAATATGCAAATGAAAACACAAGTGGAATAGCTTTGGAAGTGGAATATTGATGTTTAAAGCTCAGATTCTATTAAACCTGTTTTACAGAAACAATACCATTCATGAAAGATTATTGGCCGATCCTTTCACATTTTGACCCAAAAAATGCAATACATCTTTTATTTCTCCACAGCCTTATGATCTGAGCGAATTTGAAATGGCTGTTAGCTTTCCCCTGGACTACCCTCTCTCGCCATTACAAGTCAGTTTGCCTGAGGATCAGGTACTCCCTACTGTTATAATGAGGTGAGAAAAAAATCAAGGTCATGAAAGCTTTTCAAACTGGTAAAACTCTGCTCAGCCCCGGACTATAGGTGGGGCTAAAAGGGGGTCTTATCCCCACCTGTAGTTCTGGGCTAAGCTTCGCCCATTTTCTGTTCAGACACAAATTTACCAAAGTGGGCTAGCCCCACCTAAAGTACAGGGTTTATTGGCCCTGCAAAAATGCAGGTCTAACTCTGCAATTTTGATGCTAACATGATTTTCTTATCCCGTGATAGGCACTTAGTATGGGTCTAATGTGAATTTTAACATCATTGCTGTCATAATAAATATAGCATGATTAGCAGAGCATGCTAAAGTGTATTAACACCTCCTTATCATACCGGGTAGTTCATTCTGAATGTACTGTATTTCAAGGGAAATGCACCATGTGGAATGATAGGAAATGATTATCACCTGGACTTTGTACTGGCAATTGTATGTATAGGCCTGTTTTCATCAGCTCCAGTTTGCCAAATAACCCGCTATTCTAACTATCCCAATCGCAAATTAACCAGCGTCGACATCAGCCCGCAATTGCAATTAGTGGGATATTTGGTGGAGAAAATATCCTGAGAAATCTTGGTCTTGTTTCCAAAATATCCTGCTATTTAAGAAATAGCGGGCTAATTTGTGCCTGTCCAAGCTAATTTGTGATGAGTGTATTGGTTTGGTGAAGACCTAATTTCGAGCTTCGAGATAATATCCTGAGTCTGAAAATAGCGTGTTATCTAGCAAACACGAGCTGATGAAGACAGGCCTAGGCCTAGTGACCTGTTAAGTGTACGGTACATCTATCTTGAAGATAATCCCAATATTCTGTTATCAAAGTACACTTCGCTTGTAAATTGACTGGGCATGGAATTACAGAAGAACATTATGAATTTAAAAAACTAAGTCCCACATATTTATAATTTAATACTAAGAAGGTAAATAACTTTAAGATTATGATTTATTCATGTTATTACCGTTGCTATTCCCAATGTACAGACACATTTCTGATAGTACGATTGAGTGGTTGGAGGCTAGGGATGCTACTAACAATCTCTCTGGGAAGGTAGAGCTGATGATGCGACCATTCCTGAGATGGTTTGATAGGAGTCTTATGAGGCTCTTCACAGAGGGCGCTAGAAAGGTTGGTTCATGCTCTTCAATCTGATGAAGACTGTTCTCTTAAAACCCATCTGCACTAGTTTGGCCAGGAGGGATTAGACTAGTGCTGTAGCCGAACCGCCGAACTGAACGGAAGTTCGCCGAACATGGCACTTCCAAACCGAACCGAACCGAACCAAACGCAAAGGCCTGGTTCGGATGTTCGGCAGAAAAATGTAAACGTTTTTGCAAGCTAATAAACTTGTCATTCTGTACCTAATTTTCATGTCATGATTGCTCATTTTATATTTACTTTTTTCCCATTTTCCGCCTTTGTGATTTATGCCTATCCAGTGGTGGGCGCGACTTCACTGGCGCCATTTAAATCCCAAATCCTGACCACGCTACGTCGCGATCGTAAGCCATAAACAAGAATACATGTGCGTGATCAAAACAAGTTCAGCTCAAACCCATTCAACAAAAAATTAATATTTTAATTGTAACAAAATCGGACAAATTTTACAATATAAATAATAAATAAACAATAAATATATATTATAGTATGGTATTTATTTTTTCAGGAAAAATAGGGATTTTATATTTTTTCTATTGAAAATAAAAACTTAAAACAACAGTTATTGACAAGCCTGACTTTCTATTCAAGATGGCAGCTTTCATGACTCTAACATTAGACAACAACTTTCACGGAAAATCTTTAAAAAATATCATTTATTGACAAATTGAAAACATGATTCTTTTAAAATTGAAAATAAAACACTATTTAAGACCGAAATACAAATTTAAGTAGTATTTTTCTTCACAAATAATTACGTTTAGAGCAGTTTTTAATGTGAAATTCGTGCTGGTCGGAAGCAGTGTGCAGAGGTCCTCCGCGCTGGTCGGGCCCGCGGCAGGCCGGCCGGCCCACCCAGTGCCGACCGCCGTGGCTATAATGCTGCTTGCTATTATATTACCGAACCCCGAACCGAACCAAGTTCGGGTGAAAAATTGCCGAACTCTGCCGAACCGAACCGAACCCAACATGAACAAAGCGTCTGACTTACAGCACTAGATTAGACCTCCCTGCATAGTCACTGGCAGGTGGTTATCAATATCTCGTCAAATCAGCTCTCAATTAACATAAGAAAAAGGGGACCATGGGCGATCAATGGGTACCTCTTAAGCATTGTTGGCTATATAGACAGCACAAGTAGCTACATGTAGTGCAGTCTCGCTTTAAATACGAGAAACTAAAAACCTTTGTTCAGGAATGATGCATTGAATTGCTTATAAAACCACCATGCAGGAAAATATTGACCATTTTATGCGAAAAATGAACGGCAAATGGGGATTAAAAAATTAGCTGCACACAAAAATAGCCCTCACGCATTATTATCTTATTGGTGTGATATTTCTGTATAGCCTCAATTGTTTACAAAACCTCAATTGTATGTACTATATAAATATGAAGAAGTTACACATGTCATCCTATTATATTACTCTCAGTTCCTGTCAACTTTAAGTGTACTGTGAACAAAAAAATTCTTGGACATGAAAAGAAACTTTTAAAGAATCAAAAAATGCAGTCTTATGTCAGTGTTTAAATAATTATTTCACAAAGCATTCATGCTAAACTATCCTGTACTTGTCTTTTATTTCCATAGTTCAAGAAGGAGGTTTATGCCAAGGCTGCAGGCTTTGAATTCATCTCCTACAGCTCAAAAGAAGAAGAGAAGGAATCGGCTGATCAGGGTGAATCGGATGCTCCAGCTCATCCCAAGGAAGAATATATCAACCATGAGATGGATGAAAATCGTGGAAACATCAAGGAAGAAGATGAGGGAGAAGATCCTGATGAAGAAGAAGAGGTAGAGGAGGAAGCAGAGGAAAGGGATGGTAAGGAAGAGAAGGAGGGTGTAGCATTAAAGGAAGATACACCAGTGCAGTCAGACGAGCCATCCCAATCAGCATCCTCACCGCCTCAGGCCCAACACCAACCCCCATCTACTCTAAAATCCTCCAAGTATGTATCCCCGACCGATAACCGCCGCGGCACCGAAATCCGGTTCCCTCGCATGGAGATGAGCGAGTCTGCCTCCATCCTGGCCTGTGAGAAGATCAAGATCCGCATCCAGTGTTCACGTTGCAAGGACCAAACAGATCTCAGCGTAGCTCCTGGAGTCGCCATGGTCTTGGGATGTCATAAGTGCCAGAGCCAGCAGGCCGTAGGATATAGACCTTGTATCATCCATCAGTTTTCATCTGTGATGGGGTTCCTGGACCTCACAGGATGTGTCCCTGTAGATCTTATCATATATGAGTGCAAGTTCATGGTTTCTTGTTTGGAATGCTCAGCAAATTCTGATATTCAGGTATGTTACACATAGATTTTGGGTTTTGCTTCTCTTTATTTCTCAAGATATAGGGTAATGAGGTAGAAGTCAGTATTGTGAGATCATCATGTAATAATGGTCGAACTTTGCATAAGTCTTAACCATTTATTATAAACAAGAGCCTTGATGCCTTCTAGTGGTATTTTCTTCTTTTAAATGAGATCTGTTGGTGCACATATGCTAAACTTGACCATCTTAAAAACATTTCCTTGTTATAAAAGGGGGTATAAACTGCATATGTTCAAAAAGCTTATTGAAAGGTCAGAATAAACTATTAGAAATAAAAAAAAAAATTGAATGCTATTTATTATAAGACCTGTTTTTTTTAATTAAGAATGGTGATATGCCATGGCAAATTGAGAACATTTTAATCCATTTTGTTTTATAGGGCATTCAATACGGACAAGAACGCCCTGTGTGGTGCTCCAAATGCCACCAGAAGATGACCATTGCCATGGATACAGCTAGATTCCAAAGACTGGTTGCTTCTGCACCTGAAGGTTAGTGTGAATAGTAATTTTTATTCTGTTATTGTTTATCTGGAAAATATTTTTTGCAATTATAAGACTCTTAAAGCCCCACTGTTCTACTTGTAGCTACTTGCTCCCTCTATATAGAAAACTTCCACAATCGGTGCCTGTTGGTCCCCCGTGATCCTCTTTTTTATGCCTCCGTTACGAAGTAGCCGGAGGCATTATGTTTTCGGGTTGTCCGTCCGTCCGTACGTCCGTACGTACGTACGTCCCGTTCTCGTGATCGCGTTATCTGAAGAACTGGTTGATGGATTCCTGCCAAACTTTGGTCATGTATGTATCTTGTAGAGCCGATGAACTGATTAGATTTTGGGGTTACGAGGTCAAAGGTCAAAGGTCACAGGGCTCATTATGTATGCAAAACGAGCTTGTGATCGCGTTATCTGAAGAACTGGTTGATGGATTCCTGCCAAACTTTGGTCATGTATGTATCTTGTAGAGCCGATGAACTGATTAGATTTTGGGGTCACGAGGTCAAAGGTCAAAGGTCACAGGGCTCATTATGTATGCAAAATTATGCTTGCTCTCCGCTATATGTGTGCAAGGATGTTATACAAAAATATCATTGTATTTATACCACAAAAGAACAAGATGTATGATATTTAAGAAGTTGCTATCCATACTCTTATTCATATAAAAAGCAAGCTTCTGTGCTATATATTATCTATGCAATGGGAATATACCAAAGAACTGTAATAACATTTTCAATTATTTCTTGAGTATTTTCGCTAGTAACATATCTTGAGCAAACTCTATTATGATAATACGTAAACTTAATCTTTGTTTAACTTCAGGTAAGACAGAAGTGGTTGCTGTGAAGAAAGAGAAGCGACAGAGAGACCCTGCCATCCAGGAAGGGCTCCCTCTACCAGCTAATGGAACATGCCAGCACTACAAGAAGAGCTTCAGGTGGCTCAGGTAAATCATTATATTTCATTTTTCTTTTATAAATCTATTTGTACTCTAGTTTCTTCTTCAAATTACAACTTTTCAATGCTTTAAATAAGGGCTGTACTTCTATTTGGATGTAATTTTTCATCACATAATTTGGACACACAATATAGATTCTACAGTGTGCTGTGTCCCTCTCCATACATATTTTATATTAGATATCTTTCTTTAAATATTGAAAAAATTGGAAACGCAAAGAAAACATCCATCCTTTATGACATTTATTTGTTCGTTTGTTTTTATAGATTCCCGTGCTGTGGTAAATGTTACCCATGTGATGAGTGTCATGATGCCGATTCAGATCACGAGATGAAATTTGCCTCACGTATGATCTGTGGATTCTGTTCTAAAGAACAGGTGAGTTTCTAAAAGAATGTTTCCCGCATCACATACAAGAAACATCCTATTCTTGGCTTTGGAACACCATGTTTACTGATCCACTGATATGATTTCATATACATATTCTATGACATTTTTTGGAGGCTGGTAACAAATTTACAGCACATTCATGTACTTTATATTTCCTTTTACTCCTGTTTATTTTATTTTCTTTGGGCCTTTTTTTTTTTTTTCACTCTCATTTTTTTTTTTTTTTTTTTTTTTTTTTTTACTCCTTTCTGTTTTTGGTTTATTCTCTTTAGTTTGCATGTTTTCTTTCTGATTTCTGGCTTCTAGCCTGTTTTTTTTTCTTCCTTTCTTTTGTTTTAACAGTAAAGTTAGGTTTTTTTCACAGCCTCCTAAACAATAATCAAATCATAGAAATATGACCCTTACTTTATTACCTTGTTTAAATGGTATCCTATTCTTTGTTTGTTTTAACTAGCCCTACTCTGCAGACAAGCCTTGCCTCTCCTGTGGATCCAATGTCACCAAGTCCAGGACCACTCACTGGGAAGGAGGGACTGGATGTAGGAACAAGTCCAAGATGAGCCGGTAAGCCTTGGGCTATACTGATACCCCCCTTCCTCAGGAATGAACCTAGAGATATTAAAAGGACATTCAAACCTGCTTTAACAACCACCTGTGTATAAAGATCACATTTCTTGTTCCCTTTGTAAAAACCGTTTCTCATTGAAACTGTAATAAAGGAACCTGTACATTGAGACCCCCCTTCTTTGTTCCCTCAGCGATCTTTTCAGGTTTCACTGTATATCAAAAGATGAAAATTTGTGAACCTCCTTAGTTTTATTACTGCTTGTCCTGTATAATCTTGTCAAGTTCATAAACAATAAAGAATAATTTCAACCGACAGAGTAACAAGGAAAATCAGATATTTTCATATTTCGTCTATGAAAGCTTCATTGGTGGGTTCCTCTATTAAATGCAGGAAATATACAACTTTACTTAATTGCAGTCAAACCTGTATAATTACTACTCAAGTAGAGAAACAAGAAATTTGTCTTCAACAGGATATGATTTATTTTGTACAGGTTCTCTTTCATAGTTTTCAAAGAATAATACCTTGGAAGAGAAACATAAAATGTGGTCTTTATAAACAGATGGCGGCTAAAGCAGGTTTGACTGTGGTTGAGGTTTCCATTTGACAGGGAATCAAATTGATAAATTTGAATATTAAAAATGATTCAATAAGTACCTCAGAATTATGCGTATTTTGCAATACAATGTTCAGAAATCTTAACTATGTGTAAATATCTATGTTTACCATGCAATGTTTGTTAATACATCTTCTGTAACAAACAAAAACAATGATCTGGGCCCCATTTCACAAAACTTGTCATCAGTGAGGAATGACAGTTCATGTCATGTTACTGAAATCCTTGCTTCTGATTGGTCATCAGCAGATTTGTCACTGATGTTGTCATTTGTCATTGAAAAAAGCCTGGTGTGAACCACCGCCTGGTGTGAACAAGTCATATTTATTTATATAGAGACAACTTAATTCTATGAAAACACAATTTCACTAGTTTTTATAATTTTGTATTTAAAATATTATTAATCATTCTTTTCTCCTTTCTGTTTCATTTCTCCTGTTTCTTTAGAAATGACAAACAGAAGTTTGCCAACTTGCATAAGACTACATCTCGTCATGCACAGAAAGTGGAGGAATTCCAAAAAGGGAAAAAGAAGAAATGACTGGAGCTCTAAACCAACTGCAAAAAAGGGAAAGAGAAGAAACCACTTTACCTCAATATTAATTCCATATGTACAGGTGGCGTAATATTGATTCAGTTCATAATTTGTTATAATTTTGTATTACTATTAATGTAAACAAATTATTATGAGCAGAATAAATGCTATGCAAAGAATCATAGCACAGTGATATTGAAAAAATATAAAGAAGCAAGGTAAAGTAAGCATTGAAAAGATGCTACGACTTCATGACAGAATGAAGATGGGACAAATTTGATTGTGAAACAATATTTGGAAGATTAGATAAACAAATTATATCTTAAAGTAGAATGATAAAATCAAAGCCAGATTATGTCAAGAATATCATTCGGAAACCAGTAGTAGGTTGAGCGATGATTATGTTTTGATGTAATGTTATAAATTGTTTTGTTTTGTTGTTTGTTTTTGGCTGCTGCTTCAAAGAAGAATTCATATAATGAGAATTTAATAAAGAGACAAAATCAATTTTGCCATAAAATGCTGTAATTTGTGCATTTTCTTAAGGCTGGACAGCTGGTGTATGTGATAGATATTGATAATAAGTCATAGAGATAATTTTAAAAAGTAGACTGTCAAAATCAATTTAGTTAATAACATTAATGAATTAAGGAGAATCAAATGACAATTTAAACACACAATGTCAATAAAAAAAATTCACTAAACTAAATTAAATAAACCTTCAATTTCATTATAAGATGTATGAATGATTAATATTTTGGCAAGAGGAGTGAATGATTGATTAAATGAATTTGTTCATTGATGTGAACAATAATGCCTTAAAATAGTTTGCATTGGTTAGAAGACATTGCTAGATTCAATCATTGATATGAATCATGAACTGCTCTTTTGCTAGGAGTTCTCTGATTAATGAAAGATTTGTTGATTGGTTGACTGGTTGATTAATCAAATGATTGATTGATTGATTGGTTAAATGATTGATTGATTAATTGAATGATTGGTTAAATGATTGGTTAAATGATTGATTGATTGAATGATTGGTTAAATGATTGATTGAATGATTGATTGAATGATTGATTGAATGATTGATTGAATGATTGATTGAATGATTGATTGAATGATTGATTGAATGATTGGTTAAATGATTGATTGATTGAATGATTGGTTAAATGATTGATTGAATGATTGATTGAATGATTGATTGAATGATTGATTGATTGAATGATTGATTGAATGATTGATTGAATGATTGATTGATTGATTGATTGAATGATTGATTGAATGATTGGTTAAATGATTGATTGATTGAATGATTGGTTAAATGATTGATTGAATGATTGATTGAATGATTGATTGAATGATTGATTGAATGATTGATTGAATGATTGATTGAATGATTGATTGAATGATTGATTGAATGATTGATTGAATGATTGATTGAATGATTGATTGAATGATTGATTGAATGATTGATTGATTAATTTAATGATTTAATGATTGGTTAAATGATTGATTGAATGATTGCTTGAATGATTGATTAATTAATTGAATGATTGAATGATTGATTGAATGATTGATTGAATGATTGATTGATCGATTGATTCAATGATTGGTTGAGTAATTGAATGATTGACCGATTGGATGTTTGACTGGTCGGTTGATTGGCTGGTTAGTTCATTGTATCTAATCGTTTACTAATCGCACAAGCAAACTTAATTAGATTTAATACAATGTGCGAATGTTGCATAAGGGTGTTATTTAAAATCATGATTTTTGATCTTTCTTTCAAAACGATAATGTTGACCAAAAATTATTATTCTACATGATGCAATCGACTCAGAATAAATCGGACAAGGGATGACAATACTTTTGGCATGCCTCTATTCTGATATTAAACCTTTTATGGGCCATCAATAAATTGGACCTCAAAATTTGCGCCCTGACAGCAGTTACCCCCTATACTCCCCCACCTTTTCCCCCAAAAATAGGTATAGATAAGGGGAGAGAGACGGGGGTTAATATTTAAATGTTTTCTTTTTATTTTTGATCAGTCTCTTCCTGCATGGCCTCGTCTGGCATTAAACGATGTTAAATTAGCTCAAAAATCAAAATTAAAATAGTAAACATGCCAAAGATATGATACGGGATGTGCACACATTATAAATGAATAAGAGACATACGCTAGCTGTAGTATAATGCAAATAAAACAAAAGGCAAGACAAGAGAGATGGGAGGGGAGTCAGGGAGAGAGGGAGGGAAGGAGGGGGGGGGGGACACATGGAGAGGGTAGGGGAGATCGAGGGAGGGAGAGGGAGAGGGGGGTAGAGAAAGAGGTCGGGAGGGAGTGGGGACATCAAAGTGTAAAAAAGGACAATACGACCCCACACGGACCCAACCGGCCTCTCCGCTTGCACCAGCCACCAGTGCCCCTCCCCATAACACCCCCCCCCCCCCCATGGCTGGGCCCATACTTCCCCAATGACCTTTTCCACAATCCCAAAAAGGACTGTCAAAGTCTTTTTAAGACTGGAATATCCTGAAATATCCGCATACGGCGGCCCTCACAGACTTAAGCACAAGGCATACACAAGCCTGGTTAATTATTGACAAAAACATGATTACTCCACCCAAAGAAGTTAATTTATAACACGGCAATGAAGAAGAAACGCTACGTATGGTTAATGTTCATGCTTTATGGCATGCTATGGATTTTCACGCAATTATAACTTTGGGTGTCATTGTTGTGGGCTACGTGAAACTTTATAACACCGGTTTTTTAGAATAAGTGAACCCTCCATGGATGGATGATTAGTCTTTGCGAAGATAAAATATAATTTATTGAACAAAATGTTCTAACGAACCAGGTAAGTTGAGTTATGTTAGAGTAATACAGCTTTTATGACTTGTTATATAATCTTCCCACAAATGTATCCGATTTCGAACAGACGGCAGGGCTATTGAAATCAAGGGTTGAAAATTGTGTAGGAGATGATTTGATTATTGTATGTTATTGTGTGGGCAAGCCTGAATCCGATGACCGGGGTAATAATATATCTGTTAAGCGCTTAGAGAGACCTTGCATGTTGTGTGTATAAAGTGCTGTATAAAAGTGGAATATTGTTATTATTTTTTTAATAATACATAATAGTTGATTTGTAGATTCCTGCTATACCGTTAATGTACAATTATAAACTGTCGGGCAATAAGATGGAATAAAAAAAATAGGCCTACACATCCGCATATGATTTATCAATTGCAATGAGATTTTTATTAGATAGGTTATTGTGGTACATTAATTATGTACGACCGGTACATCTAACAAAATTTAGGACTACCCAGGAAAAGTTTTCTCTATGGAATAAAAAACAACACAAATAGTATTAAATCAAAAATATCCAGAAGCAGTTTCAAGAATTTACTTTAAAATCATTTATTATGTAAAATAATAACTATCTGTATATTGCTCTGTATGAAATCATTTTTACTGAGTTTTAATTGATTTAGTATGTGTTAAGTGATTTAAAATTGAACGTCTTGTATTTTGTAAATGTTGTAAAGGAGCTACTTATGTTCTGGTCCCACTTACCATCCTTTAGCATACATTTTGATTCTATTCTGTAATATCATCATCGTCGTCATCCTCACACTCATTATCCCCACTATCACTGTCCTCATCATCATCATCATCATCATCATCACCACCACCACCACCACCACCACCACCACCACCACCACCACTACCACTACCACCAACATTATTGCCATCATCATCTTCATCGTCACCATCATCATCTTTATGAACATCATCACCACAAAAATAAGTATCATCGTATAATCTTAATTGTCCTCATTATTAGCATTATCGGTCTATCATCACAATCGCCACTGGTCGTCACCAGAGAGAGAATATATAGTGAAGTGAAATGGGGATTTAAAAAAACAAGAAGAGACCAGAGAAAATAAAGATAAAGAGAGAGAGAGAGAGAGAGAGAGAGAGAGAGAGAGAGAGAGAGAGAAATAGAGAGAGAGAGAGAGAGAGAGAGAGAGAGAAATAGAGAGAGATAGAGAGAGACAGAGACAAAGGGTCGAGGATTTAAGGAAATAATTGTACCATTACAATTATCTTAAATCAAATAAATGGAAAGGATTACAACATATCACTCCAGTCAAACAGAGAAAGAACGAAGGTGAGTTAGGGCAACTAATAGAAAGATGAGGCAAACTTAAAATAAATTGTCTGTTTCTTTATATTTCTCTGTAGGTTACGACATTGCTGACCGAAGAGTCATCAACTGACAGCAAATCATTAAGGTGACTCACGTCGGTGACCTGCTCAAAGGGAATTCTTAAAAAGAGAATCTTGGTCCAGACACCATTTAATAACACATCATAAGTTAAGGATGGGTCTAGTAATCGGCATCACAGCATGTTGCTGTGCTTACTGCGCTATCAAGAAGAAGCGGAAACAGAACAGGAGGAGACTCGCAGAGGGTCAGGCCGCCAGCGAAGAAAACGGTCTCGACGACGACGCCGATGAGAGCATGATGAGAGAACAGGGCGACGACGCCACCGACGACGAACTGAACGCCGACTCTCCCCTGCAGGCTGATGGAATCGAAATCGGAATGAACAGTGACCGGCCGCCGCCTTACCAAGCAGTGTCGGTTCCTATGGAAACAGTGCTGGAAGAGATCGACGAGGCAGACGATATGAATATTGGCGGGAGTAAACATTCCTCGAACAAAGTGAAATACAACCATCTCTCTGATACCGCAGAAGTAGTGGAAACATCAAAGGGGGTGGCGCCGGAGACTTCAACATCCGACGGGAAAGAAAATAGTCACGCGAGAACCGAAGAAGATGCTTTCATTAAAGAAGTCATCGACAAGATGTCCGAAATTGAGGAGGAGGGTGCGTTTGGAGAAGGGAGTAAAAAACAATCGTCGAAAAAGTACAAATATTCGCCGCTGAAAGGACCGACTAGCAGTGAAAGAAAGAGAGTTAAGTCGGGCGACTCTCAAAAGGACCATGAGGAAATTAAGACTTCTTGGTCCAATGACATGTACATAGATGAACCAGCGACTGACGTGTAATTTTTATTACCAATATTGTTAATTGTGTCGTGGATACCACCGGGGGGGGGGGGTGGAGGGTTCTTATCCCCGAATGTCTTATGTGAGTACCCCCCCCCCCCCCCGGATACCACACACTGTCTTTGTAAAAAGACAGAATTCTGTCACTTCATTTTAAGTGTACGCACGCAAAGGCATTCAAAAGGGGAACTAAGTATCTTTGTTCTCCCTGAATCTAATGTATTTTCAGCCTTATGAGACCAGGCAAGGAAGGTCATTTGCTTACTTTTAATAGTATTTCGCCATTGTAGGTAGTGTATATAATTATACAAAAATGCGACTTCTGCATGTCATTACACTGTAAAACAATATGAACTAAGTGCTGAAATTGCAAATTATGTTCTCAGCTATTAATTACTTACCGTCCGTATTTGGTACTTGTTTTAATTTAGTGCTTAGAGTGTGTAGCAAGAGGGAGATCTAATTGTGTTTCATTTCAACGGTATGATTTATCTTGTTCTAATTTCTAATCAAACTGATATTTCTTTTTCAATTGCTGCAAAAATGCTTCATGGCCAAATACTTGCTTGTAGCTAGTAGAACCAGGGTAAATTAATTTATATTTACTTAAGACATTTAGATATTAAACCTCTTCAGCTTTATTTGCTTTCGAAGAGATAAACTTTATCTTGTTGTATTGCTGATAGGGACTACATGACTTGTATAGTAAATATTGCATGCAGAACCATCTGCGGTGTTAGTTGTAGTGTTTTATGTTTTATTGTGCAAATATAATTTTGCATTAATGACGTCATTATAACCGTTAACGGTTTTAATACAAAGTGACAGATAATATTGGTTTATTTTATTGTTTCCTAGATGGTATTGTCCTCAATGTTTGTTGTATAATATGAAATTTATGCATAATGCTCATCAACTTTCAAAGAAAACAACCGTTGGTGTGTTTGAATATCTGAGTTGATTAATGGATCAAATGAAGAACCGTGTCATACTCATATCTCTAAATAAGGAAGGATCTGTATTTCATGCAAAAAAGATAAGAAACGATATACGAAAAGATTTGTGTGATGTGGTGGGGTCTATCCTCCCCTTTTATCGGTCGCACACATTTATTCTTATAAGTCATTTGTAGTGTAATGCAAATATTGTTAAGTAAAACTAACATTGTTATCAATGTGGTTTCTTCTTCTGGCTTTGAGATCTTCCATTATTTTGTTTGCTGAGCTTTGTTTTACGGGACGAAAGTCCACTAAGTGTAAACTCATTATGATTTTGAAGATGATTCACTCAGAAGTGTTTAATTTTAGAAACAGGCTGTAGATATGTCCGCGAGTCACGATGTGCTCCGGGAGTTGGGGCACATGGAATACACCCCTTCATTTTATGAGAGGTGTGCAAATAAACCTCGCCATCAGGGAAAGAATTGCAAAAAAAATATTTCAAGCCAAGGTGATACCAGAAGAGTATAAGAAATGAAGACTTAACAAGGAAGAGGGCAAAGTTTGAGAATTGCTATTATTAGTATCTTTCATTATGCTAATGGGGTAAAATAGGGAATCTTCTGTTAGCATAATTATACTTGTTCCCCTTCCTTCGAAAGAGAATGAATGAAAATGATTAAAATCGCTTTTTATTTTCTTTGGGATATGATGCTTTCTCTATTCTGAAAACTATTTCAGTACTAAAGTTGATCCTCACCGTAAGACAAGTGGAAAGTCATAATGATGTATAATCCTCCGAATAAAATGAGGTTTGGTGCGAAAATAATGACAACTTACATTCCTGAATTAAGATTGAATATACTTCTTGTGTTCATTTTTGTTTTTTGGATCTGTCGGATAGGATAGTTGATGCATAGTTTGAACGCAATATATTTTTATATATACGTATCGTAGTAAAGGTGTATTACATTTTCTGTGAGTCTCCAAACATCGATACTTCTCGGTTTCGTTTTTTCTGGGACGTACTGTATAGATCTTTAGGTATTATAAGTAGGTAATTGTAGCCTATAGTGGCCAGTGTAGATTTTATGGAGAATAATGAAGATAAAAGTTCACTTATTTGTATTTGAGTATGTCTAAGACTCTAGGTTATTGCTGTTTTTGTTGTTGCTATGCTGATGCTTGTCCCATGTACTTGATACTCAACATTTGTTTTGATTGAGTATTTACAATGTCCGATATGATCATTTAAGTGTATGATTTTCTCCTTCTTCCTCCTTCTATCATTCCCTCTCCTTCCACTACTTCGTCTTCTTCTTCTTCCACTACTTCTTCTTCTTCTTCTTCTTCTTCTTCTTCTTCTTCTTCTTCTTCTTCTTCTTTTTCTTCTTCTTCTTCTTCTTCTTCTTCTTCTTCTTCTTCTTCTTCTTCTTCTTCTTCTTCTTCTTCTTCTTCTTCTTCTTCTTCTTCTTATATTAGAAATCATTTCCTTATAAGCGTTGGACCTAGGGATTTTTTTTTTTTTTTATAGTGAAAGGGCATTCAGCACTAACCTGCAAAAAAAAATATCGCTGCTATATTACTTTTTTGGTGATCTGTATTCATTTACTATGATTAACGGGGCGTTGTGGCGTGCGCCTGTAATCCAGGTCTGATATCTGATTGATACACGTCTGTAAAAAAAAAAGAGAGAAAAAAAAGAAAAGAAGCTATTTCACAAAGTTTCTTGCGTTTTCATTGTTTTTTAATTAACGAGATTTGATTAAGGTAAGTGCAAAAGTGCGATGAGGTGAACAGACTTTTGTAATCAAATTGAGAGTTTATTTATCCATTATGTACTTGACGTTGTGTTTGTCTGTACACTGTCTGTAATATAAGGGTCGACAAACTTTTGCACAAATACTGCAAACACAATATACAACCAGATTAATGTGTATTTTTTCTCAGCGAGACAATTTGAACTAATTAAAAAAACATAATTCTAATACCGCTTTCCTATATCCGTTTTTTGTTGTGTTCATAATTATTTGCTGTCTACCGATAAGAAGACCATTACTGCCATCTGCAATGACCGACGTCGTTGGACATGCACATCCAATATCCTGTAAAGAAAAGGGGCACAATTCAACAAAAAAAGTCTGAAAAAAGGGTCTAATTAGGGGCCTCTTGGGTTTTAAATTTGACTGGTAGTGCAATAATTACACGAATTTTCCTTTTGTCATATTGGAATGGTAGTAAGTGGGGCACGATTAGGTTTTGCCTTCACTAAATGCACGAAATGAAATGACTTTATCTTGTAATAATCATGACTAAATAGAAAAAAATTATTAGTACACATAATGCTCAAGAGATAATACGGCCTGGTACCGGGTCAACTTAATCGCAACCCTAGTGAATACTTGCATGGGCAACCCTAATATAGACTGTGGTTGGAATTTCTTTGATGAGGTTTGTGTTAATCATTATGCTTAATTATCATCGGGTTTCTTAATCTGTGTTGCAACCAAGGAGATGACGCACGTTGCACATGTTAGTATTGGCAAAACTACGAGATTGTACCCCCCCCCCCCCACAGAGAGAGAGAGAGAGAGAGAGAGAGGGGGGGGGGAGAGGGGGACGCGTAGAGAGAGAGAGAGAGAGAGAGAGAGAGAGAAAGAGAGGGGAGAGAGATAGAGAGGGGGAGAGGGAGAGAAGAACAAAACACACACTAGTAGGTTATTTCCTCCCCTCCAATGAATGAGTTTACATTGGGAGAGGGATCGGATATGCCGGGCCCTTTTTTTAAATAGTTTTACCGCGGCCCGCCCCGCCCCGCCCATGCACGGGATCGGAGCCCGGAGGCGCGGATCCAGGATGTCTGGAGACCCATCCCCCCCCCCAAAAAAAGCTAAAAATTACGTGTTTTTACACGTTTTTTCCTCCAAGGGAAGGGGGGGGGGGGGGGCGTGGGAGAGCGGGCGGAGCACAAGTGAAGAGTTCAGAGGGGCGGAGATGCAGCGCAGACCGCGATCGTCTCGTGGCATAATGACGTATGTGTGACATCACACGTCAAAATATTGTACCTGAACTGAAGCTTGTCCCAAGATTGCCTACCTCCCAGATTACGTGGCAAGTCGCCTTGGCCTACATACCAAAGTCTTTGTCAGGTAATTTAGTTTTCGTGTGAATCAAATGGTGAATGTTTAGTATGATAAGTGTTTTGGGTGTGGTAGCTGGAAAGTAATGCATTTTAAATTAATTAAAAACGAATGCCTAATTAAAACATGGTACCACACGATGATATCGATGTTGTGTAACACTAGACTACACAGATCATTCTATTTCCAGGGAGCTCCGACGCCGACGGCATAGGCGTTGGAGCTCCCTCGAGTTAGTATATAGCAATAGCATGGTATAGTATTAGACTAGTAACACTAACACTAACAGGAAGGAGTCGTTTCATTAAATTTAAAGGGAAAGTCCACCCTGATGGTAAACTTTTAAGTCCAGCCCAAAAATGAGAGAAACAAATAATTAAGTGAAAGTTTGAGCAATATTATAAAAAAGCCAATAATCAATATCCAATTGAAAATAGGGTCTAGGAAATTTAAAAATGTTTGAATTGAAGTGGTCATCTGACATCACAGTCATCAGTGAAATGCAAGGAAATTGGCAACGCTGCACTGTGATGTATCTTGCAAGATCCTCTCCAATCTGCTCTAGCTGTTGGAAAATTTCATAAACTTTCATTCATCATTGTCTTTATAAATCTTATAGTTATTGATGATGGAATAGATTATTTTTCCTATAGGCCCAGGGGCTGTATGCAATTATATTTGCAATAGTTATAGCAGGAAAATGAGAGTTTAAATGGATACCCCATCTAAGAGGGCCCTTCGAAGAACTCCACTGCACCGCGAGTCTTTTTTCCCCCCATATCATAATCCCCTTAATCCCTCTCCCGGACCGCACAGCTCGTAAATCTCACTCCCGAAACTGAGTGACATAGGGCTCGCGAAATGCATTGTTGGAAATACACATCAGCTGCTATCAAACAAAAATGGCGCCGTACACTAGGGATGAGTATTTGCTAGGCGACGATTTAGACTTTCTGACTGATTTTGAGGAAGATTTGATTTATGGGAAGTTGGAGACCAATACAAGTTATGCACGTGTGAAATTCCATCAACAGAAAATCTTATTTGTTGCAGTGAACCAGAATGTACGTGTACAGTTCAATGGTTTCATCGTGAATGCGTAGGCCACTCCAGCAAAGCATAGATAGTTGATACTAATGCGTATTGACTACTAGCACTGCAGTACGTGTAAATAGGCAGCATTCGAATACATGAATAGTCAATACACTCACAACATACAAATGCACATAATCATCCCGATGCGGTTGATCGGCAAGTTTGCATTAGACTCACAGTTTTAATTTTTAAATTATTCTTTCTAACATCGGAAAGTTGAACAAATTGTATTTTAATGCTCTTTAGGTGTCATCGATCGTCACTACGGTACTGACTTTGAGTGAAATCAGTTGAGTTTTGTACAGTGGTGTTTGAAATGCTGAGAATCAATAGCACAACATTTAATACACGGCCAGGGTAGTAATGCAGCTATGTGTGTTTCCACCCACAACATGCACAGCCCAGCGAGCACGGCGGCTTGCACGTCGCCGGCCCGTATTTGGGCGAAAAGTGGTGATGAATTGACAACTTCTAACCCTCATTAAATCTAATGCGCAAATATATAACACAATTTCATTTAGTTATTTTAAGAGATAAACTTATGGACTACCTTCCTAGCTATATAAAAATTTCGGAAACTTTCGGAAAATGTCAATAATTAGGAGAGAACACGATGATGATGAGAAACTTGCATTCACTCTAACTCATGATTTCCTTGGTCGATTTCGCTGGTTCAGATGGCTACGTCTTCAGTAGAGTTATCCGAGCACAGCGAAAGCATTTGATAACCAATAGAAGGTTGCATTGTGCCGTAAGTTGTCAATTCTGTATTTTATATGTTATAGCTATATACACTGTACATCTTCAATGAGTATAACGTCATTTTTTCGGTGACACGCATGGCTTCAAAGCCTTTTTTTAACGACCAAGTGCTTGGAGAGCTTAGGGAAGCAGACGGCGTTGCGTAACACTTTGTAACATTTGGATCGCCAGAGGGCATCTGTGGTCTGATAAGGGCGGCTGTTGATGGATTTGATGGCTGAAGAGGGTTACATTACTTGTTGTTAAGCCAAGTTAATCTTGAATAGCTTTCAATCGGGAAATTCTTTTGAGACGGAATATCCATTTAACTCTCATATTCCTGGTTATAGTTATGACTTATGCCATGATGAAAGAATGATTCCACCCCTCCCCCCCCCCCCCCCATAAGGGGAAAAGAAGATAATATTAATAACACTAACAATCAGAACCACAATATGGTAACTAACAAACTGAAATTGATCCACTTTCATAGTAGATTGACAAAACCACTTCTATAGTTGGATCTAGATTGCCAGGTCTTATTAGCATGTTTTGTTTCTTATTTTCACCATGATAGGTATTGACATTATTCTTGTGCTGTCATTATGATGGAAGAAGTGAGCAGTGATGACCACAAAGAAGTGGACCCAGGCCTGCCGGGAGAGGAGGCGCAAGAGGTCGCACCAGCAGGTATGATTAATTCTTTGTAAAGTTTATTTAAAGTCAGTTAGTGTGGAGAATGCATGCTCGATCTGCAGAGTAAAAAAAAGTAATACGGCTGCACCACCACTTTTAATGCTGTAATGGATGTTTTGCTTGACTTTTCTTGCAGGAATATGGAATTGATGTTGAATAGCAAAGAAAGTGTGAAAAAACAGATATGCAAATGGTTAATTGATGCATGTTACAAATCATTCATGCTTTCAAATATATGGCATATTTATTTATTTATGTACAATTGGAAGGAAAACAATATTAGAAATGAATTTTGAGGGCTCATTTACCTTCTGACTGTCATTGGTATTGGATAAGAGAGAGATAGAGCAAAGAGATAATGAGAGGGGGAAACAAAAATAATACTATAAGATGATGCATGGGTAGAGGAGTAGATTGAAATTGAGAAGTAAGTACCTGTATAGGATTGGAAAATAAACTTACAAACCTTGATGAAAGATCAATTACAACAAAATAAAAGCAGGGAAGAAAGATCACAGTACAACATGTATATGTAACAGAAAGGCCCACGAGGCAATACACTTTAAGGAGGGGTTGGCCTTTAAAATTGTTATTGCTGGTAATCTTGCTGAATATATTACTTACATTGATTTGACATCATTGCCATCCCCCGCCCCCTCCTCCAGCTCCCTCCTCTAGCTCCTTCCGCTGTAACAGTAAATATCAATCCAGGGCTCTGTTGCATGAAAGTTACCATTGATGGTAACTTTACCATCAATGGCAACTACCATGGTAACAGGGCTCAACAGCCAATCAAAATCAAGGTTTCCATGGTAGTTACCATTGATAGCAAAGTTACCATCAATGGTAAATTTTGTGCAACGGGCCCCAGGTATTGATTTCCCCCATCTTTCGTCTTTGATTGAAGGAGATGGAGGCAGTCCTCAGCCACCAGTCCCAGACAGCACTTCATCCCTCCTGTCTGGAGTTCCCCCTCCCCAGCCGCTTGGGAGCCACATCTACCCACCACCACCCCCTGCCGGTGACCTAGGGGCTGTGTCGTCCTTGGGGCAGCAGCAGCCTCAGCCACAGATCTTCACACCATCCATGCCTGCTGAGCCAGTGGGTACATCAGGGTACTCGTATGGGGTGGTGTCAAGTCCTGATCCACAGGTGAGTTAGATGTAAATAGATTGATGGTGTTGAATTGAAAAAATGTAATAGAGTGATACCTGTCTATAAAGACCACTCTAATTTGATGGTGTTGATTTGAAGAAGAAACAAATGTAATACAGTGAAACCTGTCTATAAAGACCAGCCAAGGGAGACAAGAAAAGTGGTCTTTATAGGCAGACTGTCTTCTTGTACAGGTGCTTATAGTAAATGTTTAAATGACAAACCATTTTCAAGTGAAACAAAAATGTGGTTTTGGTAGACAGGTGGTCACTAAAGCAGGTTTGACTTTGGTAATAATGACTGATTCTGAAAGTAGACAACAAGGCCTATATGACAATATGCCAAATCTCAAATCAAAGGACCCTGTGTGAACAAATTAAGATATTTCAGTCAATTCATTTTGTCACAAATACTTGCAACAAACACCAGTTATGTTACAGATCATAATTATTTTTGATCAATTCTCTTGGAGCAGGATGCTACCTGTCCATTCTGTCATCACCTCTTCTATCTCATTTCCTCCATGTAGTCTATGTTATTTGTTGCCAATAAAGTGAAAAGAATGAGACCATTTTAAACCTTTGAAAAGAATTGTATTCAAGAAGGTTTTACAGGTATGCAATATGCTGTAGATCAAATGTTGTATGTGTGAAGACATTCATTGGATTTTGTCAAAGTCCGAATGACAAATTGAATTTTAGAATTGACAAATGTGTCGTTTAATGAGTAATTTTTATGAAGGTTTCTTTGTACAAATGTTTATTTTCTCTTGCAGAGCCCTCCACCAATGGAAATGCCTCATCAGTCCATCGCAAGCAGTAGTACCCCAGAGGTTGACCCCAACCCCCACCCTGAATCATTAGGAGGGGGTGGGGGAGGGGGCCTCTTTGGATGGGGCAGTGGCATTATGAGAAAGGTCATGGAGAAAACCAAGGTGAGATCTCTACCTAATACAAATCCATCTAGCATTTTATGAATTCATTTTCACAGGCTGCCTGCCCTAGCAACAAACAACAAATGCTGTCTTGTTGACGATCAGCTATGCATGAAGTCTTTCGTCTTCTTTGTTGTTAAGGGCAGACAGCCAGTGGAACGGATTCCTTTAATAAAATTATGGAAATGCAAGCATTACTTTAAACAAACAGAACCTTGTCATTCCTGGATCATTATTCCTGATTGAGGTGTCATATGAAAGAGCAGAAATTGATCTTTCTAGAAATGTGATTTTCTCTTTGAAATTCAGATACTGTTCGCCAAATGACTTTTTGGTACCCTTTCTTCAATTGTATTCAATCACTCATGCATGGAATATGAGTTGCATCAAATGAAAGAGGAGGAACTAAACTTTACAAATATGTGTCATTTATCAATTATAATTGTGATTACGTTATGATAAAACATTGATAATTCTTGGTTTCGTTTTTTCTTGGACGCACCGTATATTGATTTCCAGGCTTCAGGATGTAGTGGATCGAGTGGCATTTCCTTCATGTTTAGACTGAAAAGCAGTTTTGGTTTACCGTAGTATATTAAAGCTTGATTTAGTTGGGTAAGGACACTTTTGAAATGTCTACAGACGGGTATGTAAAAATAGAAACAATGTATGTAAAAAGGCCCTAACACTGCATTTCATACGAAAGAAACACTTTATTTTACACTTGAACCCTATACATGTCATTAAGTTCCTCACTACAATGGAAGCAAAATATATTGTAATTACATTTGAATATCGGTAATTTATATATTATGAACTTGATCCATCTATTTCTTGTTTTATTCATAAAGTAAACAATGGAGCTACTTTTTGTTTTTCCCTGTTGTCTTTTTGTACCATCTCATATTTCTTGTCATATTCAGAGCTCAGTTGATACAATGATAACAACACTAGATCCTGGTATGGCAGCAATAATCCGTAAGTACACTCTGAAAGAATTGCTAGTTAATTTTTATTTCTCTGGTGTATCGGGGAGAAAATAACAAAGAAAATATAGATGCTCTTTGATTTCGGGAGAAAATGAAGTCATGTCTTCAATTTTAATTTGGGTATAATGATTGTACAGTACAATTTTTCTGTTTAAATGATAGCAATATGAGAACATATGTGCATAAATGAATATATATTTTAAGGATGATTTCATACTGCTGTAGTGACTCTGCTGTTGAAAGTCTCCCATATTTCATGAAGATTTCTATTAACTTTTATAGTCAGTGGTTCTCGCAAAGTTTATTACCATTTTCAAAGTCCTTTCAAGACGTGTATCTCATTGCCTTACCTATGCAGGTTCTGGTGGGGACGTGGATATCATTGTTGCATCAGACAAAGAGGTGAAAGTAGCGGGAGTCCGAGATGCATTCCAGAAGGTGTTTGGTAAGGCCACGGTTACCGGTCTGGCAGCCCAGTCTAACATCGCACCTCAGCCCGAGGGGTACGCAGCGGGCTTGAAGGGGGCGGAGGAAAGGATAACAAATCTTAGGAGGAGTGGGGAGGTACATGAGAAACAACCCATGGTGTCAGTGGAGAGCTTCATTGCTGAGCTGCTTCCAGACAAGTGAGTTAGTTTCTATTCAGTTTGTAATGGTAATAGTTAAAAGATATATTAGTGATGTACCTTCATTGGTAGTATTTACCAATTTAAATTTTGCAGAAAAAAAGATTGATAATAGAGCTATATTTGAAGAATGTTTGGACCTAATTTATATAGACATCTAGATAATGGGTCTAGTATTATTTGTTAACAGTCTACATCACAGGCACAACCAAAAAACTTAACTCCTTTTGCAAATAATGATGATTTTATGGCCCAGATGTGCTGCATGTTATCCAGTATGACAATAATTCTATACCCAAAAATGTGCTGTTTGATATTAGGACTTGATATGTACATTGCAAGGGTTACCTGCAACTGTGCAAGGTAGTAATTGCTGTGCTATTTCACACCTAATAATCCCAAAATCTGCTGACCCTGTATCCCCATTCTCCAATAAAGAGAATTGCATATATTACATACTACAGTATTTTCATTGTATTCATGTAGTGCAAATTAATTGTGTTAGATCAATTCAGATATATTAGCCGAAATTTGGGTCACATTTTTAGATTCATAATGTTTCAGAGCAAAGGGGTGTTTCACAAAGATCCTTAGTCGAACTTAATTCTATGTTGGACTTAAACATTACAGAGAGCCAATTGTAGCCTTAAAATAAAATATATTCAACAGCAAAAATTCAAGTATTTCAGACTTTTCATAAATTCCACATCAAGAACATGAATGATTGAAATCAACATGTTATGCCTTTTAAGATAACTTTTACAAATTTTGTTCAAAGATGAAAACGGCTTTCCATAATTGTTAAGTCCAACTTAGGATCTTAGTCTGTTTAATAGTGAAGCTTAATAATGTTACTACTGACCTTTCTTTGTAATTATGTAATGTTGTCTTGTCTTTTTCAGGTGGTTTGATATTGGATGTGTCATCCTACAAGATCCCTACCATAACATAAACCTGGAGAACTTCACCCAGGCCACACCCATCCCCTCTGACCTGGTGGAAGAGGCGCAGAGAATGACCCCTCCGGACTACAACCTGCGGTGGTCTGGCCTCGCTGTGACCATCGGTGAGGTGATTGAGAGATCAAACCAGGGGATTCCCCGATCAGACTGGCACAAGGCCTTCACAGGGATGTCCAGACAGGAGATGATTTATAGTGCAGCCATCTCGTTAGCAGGGACCTATAAGGTCCAGCTGTCAGGGAAGACCCAAACTCTGTGAATCGAACTCTAAGGGTTGTACGGAGGACTTGACTGAATGTATCAGGGTACTAGTGTGGTGTCCACATAGAAGAGGAACTCGGCTCAAAAGTGATGGTTGCTATCTGTGGCTTGAAGACTTCCTATTGAAAAGATTGTATGGGAATGAATGCATGCCATGAGTAGGATTGTAAGAACACTATATACTCTAAGGCAACTAGACACATTCACACATAGTCAAATCAGACTTAATTTTCCAACCATCTTTTTGAGGCAAACGATGCTAAGGCAAAGATAGATAGCAGTTTTGTTAGGTCGGTATACAAATTTTGAGAATAATGCAAGAAAGTGTGCCTGCATGTGTACACACTGTAGCTACCTCTAGGAATCTCGATTCTGTTTGTATCGGCTTTAGCATCAAGCCATCGAGCTAGGTGTCCAAGTTCCAGGTGTAGAAGTAAGTGACAATCAAATGATGCGCAATGTCAACAACTTAGTAATAAATGAATGAATTTTTTGTTTTGTTGGGGGGTAGGGGGGGGGGGGGAGAATGATTTGGCAACTGATTTAAGCTTTGCTAGAGTTAGAGCTTCTAGGACAAATTAGGGTCTGCATTGAAAAGCTATGATTATGATATGAAATGGCTCCATCCATCTTCAAATTTTATATAAATGAATTAGTATGCACAAAATTGTAAGATACTTTTATAAATTAGTAGTTGGAATTGCAAGAGTTCTGGTCTAGTAGAATATAAACTTGCCATCCTTGTGCCTTTGGAATTTGAAGATCATTAAAGATCAAAGAAGCTTTTCTACCTTGTTAATTTTAGATCAAGAGTTGATTTTTGTGGATCCTTGTATAATATTTCCTGTTTATGACACTGCATTCATTGGCAACCAACCTTCTTATCTTGTCCATACAATTACCTTTATTCTGTGACAAAATGACTATAAAATAGGAATTAAGTCAGTCATAAAATGAAAATGAGTGATTGGATTAATGGGGACCCATCACGAGACAGACCGACTGTATGTGGCTACATCACTAACTTGCTGAGTAGATAGTTCTATCTACTTGGTCAGGGTGTAAACTTGAACTTGATTTAGAATAGATAATTTTATGACTATCAGCCATTGATAAAATATTTGAATGTTTGAGGATAGTTCTGAAATAAATTTGGAGTATTCCAAATTTCTATATGATTTGATTTTTGAATAAATTATTTAAGAATTTTATCATTTCTTATTTGGGATAATTCTGTCACGTTTCTTGTCTAGAAAGGAAAGAGGGAAGAACATGTGGTTTGTTTCCTAAAGTTCAAAGTTGAGTTCAGATATACATGTTCCTGTGCTATTTTCTTTATATCAAACTTACACTGTAATTTTGTTTTTCTTTAGACATTCTGTCATGTTTACTTTGTCTCTAATTTGTACGCATTTGATATTTCTTCCTTCAATAATTCCATGTTTGTTTTCTTTCGTCTAGAGAAATTGTGTTTGTGAAACACGGCATTTTTATTTATATATTATTATAATACGGCTGTAGGCTGAGCTGAAGTATTCAATTAAAAAGAAAGTAGAAAATGCAAAGGTGTGTCATTCTGTATTATCTCTAGCATGTCACTGTATGTGAACAGTTTTTTGTCATTCTCTCAAGGAATTCTGATACTTGCACTCTATAAATCTTCAAAGCCTTCCAAAAGCTATACCGGTAGTTTTTATTACTTGTTTAATTTGACAATAGATATTCTCTAGGGAACATTTAGAAATTAATGTACTGTTTTTATATTTCAGTAAGAAACATCAACAGCCTGTTGTAACTTTGCAATCACTTTCCATTTTGGTCAACTCTTGGAACATGCAACGGACCACTTTAGTCTACTTTTTCCACACACACAATATTTCAGAATATTAATACTCCAAATATGTTGGCAGTCTAGAGATTCAGATCCCAATAAACAAATAATTAAATTAATACAGGAAAACAAAATTGAAATATTGATGATCAGCATGAGCTTATTTTTATTCATGTAATATATTACATATCCATTACTGAGATACAGCCATGTATAATGTCATATATGTAATAATTTAATCAAGCAAAGAGTAGCATGGTAATGTAGAGGCCCATAAGTTAAAACGCAAAAGAAATACATGCGAGTAAATACAAAATTGAAGGAAAAAGAAATTGACATCAAAAGAAAATATGAAAGAGGTAGGGAAGAGAGATAGAGAAAGAGTGTGAAAAGAACTGAATTCATAATGGAATGCATTGACTTAGAGCCTAGTCAAAATCATGGATACACCTGCTAAAATCAATGAATTTGAAACATCATTTTTGTCAATTGAAATTTTACGAAATTATCCTTTACAAAATGACTGTCTTCTAAAAACATCTAGATTTTAGAATCCATGCCCCTGCCCTTTTCTTGAATAAGAACTGACAACAGCTGGCAAGAGAATTACATAATCCCATTTTACATACACCATGATACAGTAGCCTAGCAAAATGTAGTGTCGCAAATATAACAGAGGAACACATATGGCTATAAAGCAGCATTTATCTTTCTCCTATCGGGATATTTTCTAAATGCAGCAGTCACGGACCAGATTCTCAACAACAATATCTAGTGCACAACCACCCACCTATCATGATCTATAAAAGAAGATGACTATGACTGTTTAATTGACATGATGCAATCCTTTGTGAAAAGTTGCTGATGTACCTGCCACTTCATTTTGTTATGTTACAATATTATGCTTGACTTCTATATACAACACATTGATGACATTACATTTATACTTTTGTTTTTGTATGTCTATAATCAATGAAAACACAATATCAACTGATTATACTTCACTATAGAATCATCTACTAATGTTACTTTACATATTTACAATGAGTGAGTGCAGTCGTGCTCTTTATCCGAATTTCAGAGTCACAAGATGTGATAAAGCCCTTCTGGCTCCAAACAGACGAAAGTAGTTTAATAAATGATAACAAGAAAACTAAATCAATGAAACTTATCATTGACTACAGATCATGCACAAAGCATATATTTGTTCAGCCTATGAAGATGTGTTTTAGGCAACCATATGCTACTGGAACAACTATTGAAGTATTCTCTCATAAATAAATTGCTAACATCAAGGAATTCAAGGTGGAATTCCACAAACACAAATATAACTTGGAAGGAGCATGAACTGATGTGCACAAAGCCCCAAGTCCCTTGCAGCTAGGTTCCAGGACCTGGTTAGTGGCTCTGGAGGCACCAGGATTCTTAGATGCTTTCTGGTACGATCTGAGCCATATTTTGACACATTTTCATATAAAAATGTCTTGATTAATATTTCAGAAATAAAGTTTGTTTGAGAGTGAATTCAAACCTGTAACTGATTTACAAACCTGTCACAAAGAAAACCAATCCTGTCCCTCATGTTAACCTTTTAGCAACTAAACCGCCCGTAACCGCCCCTCCTTTTACTTACTGAACCACTCAAATAGGGTCTACTGTGATAATGTTATACATGCGTAATCCTTACCATGTCTACAGTAGGATTCTGCATAGAAAAATAGCGCATGTTCCATATTGTTCAGCACAATGTCAAAATTATGATATTATGCTTATCTTCCAGTGAATAATAGGCCATTTTTACAAAATCGCTAGTTGCTAATTGGTTAAGAACATTTGTGGACCACCCTGTATAATAGTAATGGCTCTAGACTAACGGTCACATTAATAAATATCTGGTGTCCTGACTTTATGAGCAACCTCGTATTTGGTCATCACCTCGTCCCATTGCACAAACTGTTTGGAGATAAGAGTTATCTGAAATGGTGAAAGCAATTCAGGAAAAATAAAATTGAATATCTGTCAGTTTACATGTATTGTTTAATATTTATTTTCAGATTTGTATCTGGTTATAAATTGTGCACACATTTTTAAAAATCATTTCATTTCATTTTATTCCATTCGTCACATAAAAACATGCATAATTATAACATTGATATTTACATATAAGTAAAGAACATACAAATAACATAACGAAAGATAAACACAAAATACAATTTTATATATATATGAATGAGGAAACCGGCAAGAAAGAACAAATAAATCTTATGTGGTGCATCCCTAATAATATCTTAACTTGTTGCAAAAATAGAAAGAAAAACAAAAATTGGGGGGAATGTTTCAGGTAGAATTGTAATCTTAATGCCTATGTTCAGTCAGTGTAAAAGCTGACAACCCAAAAAGTAGGAATAACTTAATAATAATAATAATAATATAGATATTTATAAAGCACCCGTATCTGCCAGGCTCTGACGCTCATGGCGCTGTACATATTACAATCACGAACATATCCCTTTCTTAATTAAAGTAAAGGTAAAGTAAAACAACACAAATTATTACGCCACAATTATAATTGTCATTATTAAATAGAACTTAGGGCATTACATGTCAGGAAATACAGATTCTACGACTCAAAATACATCTGAACATGTATTTGTAAAGGATACAATGTTATTATATGACTCGAGAAGCTTTTTGGTCTCATCTCCAAGCTCCTTTGCCTCTTCCTGAAAATGATAAAGAACAAATGATTTTGAAAGGAACTGTTACATGGTGGGTTTCATTAAATACAGACAATTAAAAGAGTGGACAGATTATTTTGTAATTTGACATTGTATCATTTTATTTAATCTCTGATAAAAAACTAGGAGAAGAGCTTTTATTCATCTGACCTATATTTCAAATACGTGGGAAAATCTTTATGTGATCATCATTTTGCTCATTGACGATACATGTCCAAGCACAGGTACAGTAACTGTATAATATATTAATAACAATACACACAACATCAAACTTTAGCCAGCTCAAACTGTGTATGGGCTACGGCAATAGAAGGTTCAAAGAAGTTTCTTACCTCATGTTTGACCTGTACTGTGGTCAGTGGTACCAGTCTGTCGGATAATCCACTTACACCTAGGGGGAAAAAAAGTTAAAAAGTCATTCTCATTTCATAACAGTTCTCAATTCCTACAGTACTGTCCACTTTACAAACAAAACCATGAGGAATACATATGAAAAGTTTTTTTTTAAATAGTTGTAATTATCTTTTCCCCCTTTGTATTACCCTCTACCCTCCCCCTCCCCCTTCTCTCTGTCTCTCTGTATGTCCGTCTCTCTGTTTCTTCTCTCTCTCTCTCTCTCTCTCTCTCTCTCATCCACACCTCAACCATCCTCTAACAATATAGCTCACCTTTGATATGTTCACTATCTAGCACTGAAGAAAGTTCTTTGACCTTTTCCAAGAGAACTGCTTGTGCTTTCAGCTGCTCCTCCTCTGTAAAACAGTTAAAACAGACACAGAATATACTAAAATATAGATCTTTAAAAGACAGAATCATTTAAAAAGACAAATCTTTTTAATCCCTGACACAATAGAGACAAGGCAGGTATAGTACATAATTTTTTTTAAATACACTGTAAGATACTCAACTTACTTCTTTTTTTCTTTTTTTCTTGGGGGGGGGGGGGGGGGCTATATTCAGCTAAGATTATACATGAGTCACAAATAATATCTGTTTTCAATCAAAATGTGTTGTTATTTTCTTGCTAGGAAAACCCTGTGTGGACAGGGATACATTTCAAAGAACATTAAACAACAGCATGAGCAGTTATCTGTAATGTGGCCCTCTAATCAGCAAAGATTATACATGAGTCACAAAAATAGGTTGAGATCGATAACCATATATATTCAAAATAATTAACCTGTTATGTACATCCTTTTTCGTTACAGTACATATTTTTTATAATTTCTAACCTGAAATATCTCATGTATTGCCATCAATTAGTTTTAAAAAAACTTGAAATTACATTGGTATTTACCTGATATACATGTAGTTGTAGCTGACTGAAAACTGCATCTTGTTTTAGTAAGATGTACTTAGCATTAGCAAGCCAATTAATCACATAAGATCTTTTGAAATTTAAGGGGACTGAGATTTCTTTACTTTATATAAAATACAGAGGTTTGAAAAGGACACATACCTGCTAAAATGATGTCAGTTTTAGCGTCATTGCTCAATGTCAGCTGACTGGAGAGTTCCGGGTCAAGATAATTATTGAGCTCTTCCACTGTAAAAATAAAAGCAAACAAAAAATACATATTTACTCAAGATGGAAAGGAAAGGAGAGGAGAGCAAGATTATGGTTGCTGGAGATGGAGTAAGAGTAAAATAGGGAGTGGAAGGGGAAGGGATGAGATGAGAAAGAAAGAAGGGAGGGGCAACCAGACAATTTAAGTGAGAGACATAGAGATGGAAACGAGAGAGGGAGATGGAAAATAGGAGAGATACAGGGGGTGGAGGGGGTATAAATAGGGGAGAGTCATCCACCTGTCAATCATGTTCTTGATGACTTGTACAGTCATACTTCACTCATAACTGTTTACTTAAAGAAAATATTGTGATAAACCAACACAAAATTTCTTTAACTCCTACCTACTATTCTTTGGAAGACAAAATAACTTACATCTTTTCCATAGAGCTTGAGTCTTGCTTTTACCAGATGTCAAGCCTGCTATCTTCTGCTTCACTCCATGCAAATTGTCTATAACCTGTGAAATTAAGAAATAAAATGTTGAATTGATGAATGTAAGTTACCTTTTGTCCATTTGTTGTTGGTTGTTGTAGACTTGTATAAGTTTTATGTCCCATTGAACAAATAATTATAATGGTATGAAGTGCATGGCATCTAGTATATAATATAACGTTTCACACATTTAAATGTCAACTAAAAACAAAGATGATCGAAAAGAACAGAAAATAGGAAGAAGAATAAGAATATGTTGATGGAAAAAAAGAAATGAAAGAAGAATAAGAAGAGGAAGAAGATGAAGATGAGGGGAAGTGAGAGGGAGAGGATGAAACACAAGAAGATCATGAAGACAAAATAAGGGGACAAAAAAAGAAAGAAAGAAAAGTGAAAAAATATGAGAAACCAGAAAAATCATCATCTTGATGAGATAATCTCTGAAGTACCTTTTCCAGCCTAAACCGTGATGGGCTGTTATGTGACAGTAGGTGACAGTGCAGAAAACTGACGACAACAAAACGGTGTAAAATGTCTAATTCATACCATTAAAACTGGTGCTGGTAAAGTCTTACGACATCAACCAACAACTGTGATGGGGGGGGGGGGGGGGGGGGGTTGGGTGTTTGGACACTTAAGTTGGTTGGTTGTTATTTTTTTACCTGACTGCTAAGAAAGCATAAATGCTTGTAAGTAAGCAACCAGACGGCCGACGGCTTTAGGTCCTCTCCGAGGGACCTGGTAATGAGGATTAATGCCTTACCAAAGGGCACTAGCGCTTCGACTTGGTTTCGAACCAGGGTCACCGGATAACGAGACCACTGCTCTACCAACTGAGCTATCGCGCCTGACAAGCAAACATCAATGACTTCTCTTTTGCCTTCAGATTAAACGGAAAATACTTATCAAATTACACTAACCATCATTGATATTTGTTCTCTACAACTTACAAGTACAATAATCAAAGTAAATCTAAGATTAATGAAATAATGCTTGTAAACTTCCAGATACACACATGTGAATACGCATTGCATTGGCCCATTTGTGCTGCTGGCGTGATTATCACCAAGCCCTAGTCTGGACACATAATATCTGAGTTTCAAATTACTGGGTTTTTAAAAATTTACTTATTTAGTGTTTTTATTAATCTGATGATAAATCATATTCATATTAGTCTAAACAAAGTCAAAGATTTCCTAGATCTACTGGGCACTGCATGCTTGAAAAGGGAGTTTTAGAGGCACAGCTGCACTCTTTGATATAGATCTAGACTACATGCACAAGCTTATTTGAGAAGTGGCAATTATTCATTTATTTATATTTCTTTCTCTTTTTCTTTTCCAATAATTGACACTACTGAATTCTGACATGTACATGTCAGGGCATTAAGGTAAACAAAACATACAAAGAAATAAGCAGCTGGGACTAGGTCGATTTTTTTTTTTTTTTTTCTAGACTCAAAAGTTCATCAAAACCTTTCGTTCCGGAAATTTTTAAGTTCTTAGAAACAAAACATAGTCTTACCGATCCTTGGATTCCATTCGAATTTCCTTCGCCGCATATTCTACTCTCAAGTGCAGCAATTCTTTGTTCCAATATCTCGAGAGTGCCAGCGCCAGCCATCTTGGACTTCCAACTTCGTCAGCAAACCAGTGCAGTCTACATGTGTAATACAGCTGCACCACGGCCACGCCCCAAGCCTAGCCCAGCCCTACGGTACCGGGCGGTGGCGATCTTAGCAGCACAGCCGCGCCAGCACAAGATCACCACTCCTTTATCCCTGGTTGGTTGTACCCTTGCCCCGGCTTTACTTTAGAAGAAAGAAAGAAAGATATGTAAGTGTTTGATAGTGTTGGTATGATTATTACATGATCAAATTATTCTGAGTCGGTGAGAATGTTGTAACTTATAGTCTAAAACTCAGTATAATTCATGATAGGCCCTAAGTATTTTGCAATTTCTCATTGCCCCTTCTTCTGTTTTGGGGGTAGGCCACGCGGGAGGGGGGGGGGGGGGGGGGGGGGGGGGGGGGAGTTGTCTTATTAGTCAGATCAGATTGATATTAGGTGTATGATTTAGTTATGTTGCACAATGAATATAAAGTGTTAGATGTGAAATCTAAAGAGCGCGCTAGTAGGGGATGTGGCCTGTGGTTGAACGTTTATTTAATCTTATTTATTTATATTCAAATTTGTCGAGTAATTTTCAACAATTAGAGATGATCGAGGATCAAGAATATGCAGAGGCCAGGGGCCGGTCCATGCCATGATGCATGCTATTTGAAAATTAATGACAATTTTTTGTATGTTTCCTTCTTAATTGCACACACAAATCCTTTGCAGAGACGCCAAGTTCAAAGATCAGCAATGCGTGACATTTCATGATACGGGCGCGTGTGAGGGTATAACACACGTATAAGGTATAGCGTTTTTCGAAATCAAGCGCGCGCACGTTGTGTGTGAGAGCGTTTTCAGACCCTCGAAATGCGTGACACTTGGTAGCTCTGCCTTTGGAGCCTGGGGTTTCTTCAAATGAAAAATATTTTTCACTCATGTTAACTTAAAGATAAACTTTAGTACTGGTAATGCGATTGCATTGTGAAAGAAAAGGTGTGGAAAGGATCAGAAACAGTTGATCATGTAGCATGTAAGTATTGGTGTGCACTGCAAGGTTCTGGAGTCATCAAAATCATAATAAATTGACCGAGTCTTGGTAAAGTAACAAGCACTCACATAGAAAGCTATATATGGGACAACACACATGGTGTCGGGGCTAGTACTACCTTGATTTCCTTGTCTTTCTATGCTCATTACTCAGCCAGTATACATTTTTCCAAAATTGTTGGCACATGTCATTTATTTGTAATCTTGAACATTCAGTGTAAGTTTTGTTGATTCTGTGAGAATTTTTTTTTTCTTTTACCAGTACTGGAGTTATCTTAAAAGGTAAAGACCAGTTATGGTCATGCGATGCATTGTGAAAGAAACGTTGTGGAATCGATCAGAAAAGGTTGATCATCTAGCATCTAGCATCTGCAAGGTTCTGGAATCATCAAAATGATAAGAAATTTGGCCTATTCTTCGTAAAGTTACAAGCACTATACACAGAAAGATGTATATGGGACTACCCTATATCTTCACAGACCATGGAGAGAAACAAATTTACCAAATATATGATTAGTAGGCAGTTTCCCGGCAAATTTGTTATCATCATGTATAGTCAAAACATATTCTTTCACATGATTGGTAATGAGAGCTTCCATTTCATTTTTTGAAATTGGGGCGTTCCAATACTGGTCTTTACCTTTAATATTACACTTACACTGTTACAGTCAGATAGAGTCAAGTTAGATAGAGATAGCTCAAAACCACATGCAGTTAGAGTAAGATGCTCAAAAACCACATGCAGTTAGATGGTAGACTTTATATATCTTTAATTCATCCTTATTTTCGTGTTAGCTTAGATTCCTTTGAATTTGGTTCATGCAAATAAAAAAACAGAGTTTAGACAACAAATAAGAAAGCTTCAGATTGTTGGAAAAAGATGCTGTTTCTCTCTCTCTCCCTCTCTCTCTCTCTCTCTCTCTCTAACTATCTCTGAAAGAACTAATCAATAGCCAGATAAATTTACAAGAAGCTTATTACAGTGAGTTTAATGTCAAAAGAAAGAATATCTGTTCTGATTCTGATAGTTTGTGAGCTTGCCATTTGATAATTCATAGTAGTCCTTGATCAATTTAGACCTTCTTAAGAGCTTAAAATGCAATTATCTGAATCCACTTTTATTCTATTTGATTCCCAAACAGGTTACAGCACCTGAATAGCAGACTGAGAAGTTCTTTATTCAGGATTCCCATCATCATTCAAAAGATGTCTACTTCAGGTCAAAGTTCAACCAGCTCAGTCAAGAGCTGCTCAACCGGTACCATTGAAGCACAACCCTCGAGCCATCAGTCTCCTCTGGTACTCTCAGTCTCACATCTCCTATTGGTTACATCAGGTCTTGTTTCAAGAGCAAGAACGGGACACCAAGGCAGCCATCGGTGTGTAGCTATGCTAGAGCCAAGCTGAAGATCCTCAAGTCTGTGTTTGTCTGCCCTGATCACTCGCTGGATGGCTTGGCACATTCTCTCATGTCTGGTGAGTTCAATCGTTTGATTGGCTTTAACCCTAATAAGGCCGGGCTATTGAGGTCTTAGTATGGCCGGGGGGGGGGGGGGGGGGGGGGGGCCATTATGGCCCCTAAGGGCCCTTTAGATCGCGAAGCGGCCGATTGACGCGAACATTTGCATGCATGTCAAGTGAAGTGTATAAAAATAATATGATAATTTCAATTTTGAAAAATTCACTCATTTGCATATTTATGGTAATTTATGCAAATAAAGTCATAAAAATCACATTTTTACGCATATAAATCATAATTATTCATAATTAGGTATTCTTTTTCACTAATATATTCATTAGACCAGGTGATCGAGGTGATGTGCTTCAAGGTATACCGGTTGAGCAGCTCTTGACTGAATAATCATACAACAAAAAAAATTTGAAGAGCCAGCTTATTCCTTATGTTATCCCTGTTTTTTAATTTCTTATGATTTCTTTGTTTTTAACTGATGTATTTCATTGTTTTGTGTATTATTTCATTTCTACTACAATTCAACTATTTTGACCCCAAAACAACCACCTAAACTTTAAAAACAAGACCAAATAACCCATGTTGATCTGTTTTTAGGAAAAATGACTTTTCCATATGTTTTGTACACAAATCACAAAAATGAGCGATTTTCGGGCTGATATGCAAAGACAAAAAGGTCACGTGACCTTGTAATCGTAGGTCCGATTTTCAAAAAAAATCTTTTAAAAGTTGCGCAAGACTCGAAAGAAAAAAGTCAGCGAGTGGCGGGGCGCCATCCATATGCGTTCTCGAGCAATCAGAAAAATCGTGGAGGGGGGGGGGGCATAATGGCCGCCCACCCCGGCCTTATTAGGGTAAAGCCCCACTGCACTTGCTACTTGTGCCCCTTATATAGCAAGCAATGCCTAATCGTTGCCTGTTTGTCCCCCATGATCCTCTTTTCTTATGTTAATTGAGAGCTGATTGTGAGATAACCACCTGTCAGTGACCTTGCAGGGAGGTCTAATCCCCCTGGCCAAACTATAGTACAGACGGGATTTCAAAGTATAATATTGACTTAAAACACCTGGGTGAAGAAGGATATTGAATTTGTAATGTAGGTAATAAGGATCTTTTCTCGAATGTTTATCTATCTTTTTGTGGGAAAGATTTATGCATTTGCCCATTTACACAAAATTATAGATCTATAGATTAAGATTTTACTCCAAATAATCATGATTGTCATTCATGATCATTTGCTTCTCTCCCATTCAGGGTTCTGTGTGTCTTCATAAGAACAGCCAGGAGAGTTTCACCAAGGCCAAGGCTATGGGAAGAAGGTCAACATGTTTGTTGACAAAGTCATCAGCAAAATAGGATCAACACCTATCTCTATTAGATGTTCTAAGTGATTTCTGTTACCCACGTCGGGGGTAAATGATATAAATTCTGAAAAGAAATGAAGAGGCTGGTCAGAATGTGTGGTTACTGTGAAGCATCATGTATAGAACTCTTTAATAACATAAAGATAACCATAGAATAACATATTCCACTATGAAACTAAATACAAGTAATCGGATTAAATATGAATATTAACACAGCTAACTCTAAATTCATAAACAACATTGGCATAGGCATCTGACTGCTTATCTTCTAATCTGAACACGGCTAACTGTAATTATAGACCAAGGTGAACCAGTTTAAAAGTTGTTTTGTGTCTTTTTACACAATAACCCAACTTTCTCCAATATCCCGACCTGTCTATAGTCGCACAGTAACCTAAATCCTTTTCTGAAATAATACTACACAATTACTTTTCTCAATTCTAGCAAAACTCTTCTCTACATGTATATGCAGGGACAAAAGTATAATAAAAGATACAAGGAATATATTCTAACAAAATCATACTCAATCTTCAAATATGATATTAACAGTTAAAGAGAGAACCAGAAATGAGAGGGAGTAAAAGAGAGAGACATGAGAGAAAGAGAAAGAGAGAGAGAGAGAGAGAGAGAGAGAGAGAGAGAGAGAGAGAAACTACAAATGCATAACAACTCATTTATCAAAGACCTGAATCTTGAACTATGAACCCACATGCTCTCTTTTCTACGATATTCCCTCATTTCTCCAGTTGGTGGACTACTGCTGACCACAAGTCATTAGTCATAGCATGTCACAGTTATCTCTGATAAAGACCAGAGAAACTTCTCCCAATGCACAGACTATTGAATTGGTATCAGGATTAACTTACTACTACTCTTTGTATAGTGGGGTATGAACTCGTCACTATACATCTCACATTAAGCATACACACATTATGAGGTGTCTTCACACTTGTTGGTTTAACATGACTTAGTATGAATATATAAAGATTTACTACTTCTACTACATAATAATACGACCATTATATAATCTAAATGCTTCATAAACGTGACTAACACCATACAATAGATACATGTCATGTAGATACATAGGTTAAGCCTGCATCTCTCATGATAAGTCTGGTTGATAAAATACACTTAATTGGTTCTAATATTACTAATAACATTCACTTCATCATTAAACACGAGTTGCAGCACAATAATGTAATATATGAATTGAACAATAATAATTAACTTAATTAGACAGACAGAAATGAAAGAGATTAAAAGTTGTATTTCTTACCTGAAAAGAAATGAAGAGGCTGGTCAGAATATGTGTTTACTGTGAAGCATCATGTATAGAACTGATGCTATCAGGCAGAAACCACTGACATGACCAACGCCTTCGATTTGGTTTCGTTTTGGGGAGAGGGCACAATATGAGTCACCACTTCTTGGAAACAGGGGTTGGGTTTCTGCATCTTTGCAGCAAGCCCTGAAGAATGTGCAAACTTTTTAAGATACTGGTGTGTAAAATATATGATAATACTAACAAGATATATGTATACAAAATTTGAGGGAGGCCTATTTTCCAGGGCCTTACACATCTATATGTCTAAGTTTATTTGTTTTGCTTGTCTTTCAGGGTTATGTTTGTGTTCCATGAGAACAGCCAAGAGAACTTCACCAAGGCCAAAGTGAAACCTCCAAGACTGGATGGGAAGAAGGTTGGTGTGTTTGCCTCAAGGTCTCCTCATAGACCCAATCCTATAGGACTCACCCTGGCAAGACTGGATAAAGTGGAAGGTATTCTGCTATTAAGATATCTTTATGGTATTCATTCAATATACCACTTCGGAGATAGTACTTGTACAAATCATTAAGCCTGTCTGCACTAGTTTGGCCAGGAGGGATTAGATGTTCCAGCGTGGTCAGTCACTGACAGGTGATTATCTCATCAAATCAGCTCTCAATCAACATAAGAAAAAGGGGACCATGGGGGACCAATGGTCACTGATAAGGCATTTTTTGATATATAGAGGGTGCCGCGGTAACTATAAGTAGTGCAGTGGGGCTTTAAACCTGGTGCAATCCTACTTTGTGCATTTTAGAATAAGTGCTGCCAAAGTGATCAAGGTGTTTATGAATACATTTTGTTTGCCCTATAGATGGAAAAGAATACTTCCACCTGCGCATCATAGAATGTACATTTGGTGCATAAATGAATAAAGATTGTCTTGATGGGTTTTACGTTTGTTAACAAATGACCTTAGATCTGCCCATGCGCAGATAGTATCTCTGAAGTGGCTTAATTAATATATGAATAAGGGTATACATGTATTGTTTTGATAAACGGTCTTAATCAATGGAAACTTACCCTTTAGTTCCATATCACCACTCCATTTCATTTCTCTTCATTTTTTAAATATTTAGTGTATGTGTGTCTATTTTTGTTTTTTTCATTTTTGTTTATTCATTATAATCTTGTCAATCACACCTAATGGATTCCTTTTCCTCCCAGGAGATACCTGTACCGTCTGGTATGGACATGATAGATGGAACCCCAGTCCTGGATGTCAAACCTTACGTTTCTGATTACGACAACCCCAAGCAAACCTCTACCAGAACTACTGATCATGTTCACAAGAGGCTTGATGATGCCTCAAGGGTTCCAAGTGAAGTGCAAGAAACAAGAGATGGGGCATTACCATCTCAGGTGGATAGTCAAAGCATAAAGACTGACCGAACAGAACATTTCTCCAAGGACAGTACTACACGGTCACACGGCATAGGTGAATCAAGCGGTCATGCCAAAGATATGACATCAGACTTAAACACAGACAATAGAGACAATGGCAATAGAACTACTTCATGTGAGAGCAGTGATGCTACTCATACGCTTCAACCTGAAGATGTTAGTGGAGATGATGTGAGAGTTGCAGACTGGGTAGGAGCTCCTCCGATCAAGGAACTTACTGTTCGGTTCACTCCCAGTGCCAAAGCACAACTTGCTTGCATTCTGGGGAAACACTGATCCAGGTGAGAATTCACAGATTTGTTCACGTGTTTGCCTCGATATGAAATTAAGGTGCCCTAAAAATGAGATGTCCTACTCCTTTTTCTTTCAGTCAAAGCATCTCAGTACAATGATTTATCCCAAAGATGTACATGTAACATGGTTTAAATTTCTAAAAAAATTAGTTTGTGAAAGGACTTGATATTGTCTTAATCAGTACCATACTACCATTTGTCTCAGAAGCAAAAATCTATAAATGAGATCAAAAGATGATGTAAGCATACTAGAAAATATTAAACACCATGACCATTTTCCTTTTCAGTCATCTGTGCCTCACTGGTAAACAAATTTACTGAAGCAGTCAAAAAAAAAAACTGTAATCATTTGCAGATCTTAATTACTAAGAATTAGATATTTTAAAAATAGATACCATATGTTCTACTCTTCCGTAAAGACTGTAAAGCATTCATACTCATAGTGTTAATAATATTTTGTTCCACAGATCACAAGCTAGAATTTCTGTACAGCTATGATGAAGCTCCCAGGCCATAGAAGACATCCTGTCAGCGACCCCACGCTCTGTCTACAGGAGAAAGTCTTGCTCTGATAGACTGTACTACTTCACCATAGACAACCTTCACATCACCAGCTGGTTTGGAGCGGGGTTTGTAGAGGTGCTTCAAGTGCAACCCTTTCCTTGGCTGATATACCCAAACACACTGCTGCGAGTGAAGGGCTGGCATCATCCAAAGTCAATAGATGATTGTGAAACTCGTTATAATGATGTCATTGGGACGATGAAAAGTTCCTAGGTTTATCAGGAGGGTGTTTCACAAAGGTCCTAAGTTGAACTTATCTCTAAGGTGGACTTACAATTATGGGAAGCTGCTAGCATCTTTGAAAAGAAATTCTACAAGTTGATTTAAAAGGCATAAAATATTGATTCAAATCATTCATATTTTAAGGAGATTTCTTGATGTTCTTTGATGTGGAATTTATGAAAAGTCTAAAATACTTGAAGTTTTTGCTTTTGAATATGTTTATTTTAAGGCTACAAATGGCTCTCCATAATGTTCAAGTCCACTTAGAGTTAAGTCCGACTTAGGATCTTTGTAAAATACCCCCTGGTATATTGTTATATATCCATGTTTTTAAAAAATAATATAAAGAGCTGGGAGGAGCAATGGCCTTGTTATGTCAAGTATCCTGTCATATCACATTTCTTTTTAGTGAGTTTCCACACTATTTTGCCCAAGACATTCCCATTTCAAACTGGTTTGAATCAGGTTTTCCAGTAGTAATCCATCTCCCTTTTCAAGTTTTCAGCTGATTGCAATAACAGTGCTTGAGGAAAGGCTTTTAATGCCAGGTCAAAGAAGAGAATGCAATCCTGGTGGCTCTTAAGGGATGCAATAATCTACCTTAGACAATCTCGACATCATTTGGATCTTGCCCAGCTTTGTGCTTTCAATCCGAACGATCCCTTTAGCAGATCTTTGTACCAAAATACTGAGAAAATCAGAAACTAAATTCATGAGATGTAAGTGATCTTATTTCATGCTGCAAAATAATTACATAATAATCAGAAACAAGACATTCCCATCTCAAACTGGTTTGAATCAGGTTTTCCAGTCGTATCCATCTCCCTTTTCAGCTGATGCAATAACAGTGCTTGAGGAAAGGCTTTTAATGCCAAGTCAAGAGAAATGCAATCCTTGTGGCTCTTAAAGGGATGCAATAATCTACCTTAGACAATCTCGACATCATTTGGATCTTGCCCAGCTTTGTGCTTTCAATCCAAACGATCCCTTTAGCAGATCTTTGTGCCAAAATACTGAGGAAATCAGAAACTAAAATTCATGAGATGCAAGTGATCTTATTTCATGCTGCAAAATAATTACATCACAATATTGAATTACATATTAAGTGAATGAACAATAATTCATTGCTTTGAAAAATTGCTGTTATGAATAATGTGTGAAGGTACATGTATGTGGTACCGTTTTGCAGTATAGTGAAGAGTTTGTGATGACAAAGAACAAATCAATTCACAATTTTGTACTGGGAGCGATTTGAATAAAATCTGAGGATTTGAATCAATTTATATTGAGAAATTATAATCATACACAGCTCGATTAATCAATCTCTAAATCGATGAAGTCAACTCAAGCATGAAAGGTGGACTAGTCGAATTAGGGCCTTTGTTAAATATTTTTAGATGTAAAGCTTCAATGTGTCAAGTTATTACATGCATGAATACATCTTGTGACTTAATAGATACTCTTCACAGTGTGATTTAACTTTGAAATAAAGATGCAACGACCATGGTTTTAAGAAATGCAAATTGTTTAATGTAGCAATATATATATCTTTGAAACATTAATACAATTTACCAGTAGTTAAAGGCAAGTATACAAAAACATGCAATACAGGGTGTAAATACTTATATCAGTACTTGACCATGTCTTTACTTTACAGTAACACTTGAAGACTTTTCACACATATGGGGCGTTGCAAGAAAGTTTCAATCGATTGCAAAGCCCAAAATCAAGCGTAAGTTTTGCGATTAATTGCAAATTAACAATTGATCGCAACTCAACTTTCTTGTAACGCTCCATTAGTAAGAGAGAGGGGGGGGGGGGGGGGGATAAAAGCTAGATATAGTTAACTTAATTCAATTGTTAAAACTTAATCCTTAAAAATCCTAGAAAATTTAGGAGACTAGTGGGGCGTTGCAGAAAAGTTGAGTTGCAATCATTGCAAATATCAGTTGCAAATTTTGCAACGTCGTCCAATAGTAACTAACCATGGTGGATAGAAGTATTGTATTTGATAAATTTCATAAATTAAATCACATTTCTGGCTAAAACATCAACCTCATTAACCCAATGTCTATTGCAGGAAACAGGATGGCTCTCGTATGAAGTCTATGACATTGAGAGAAGTTAGAGAATTGGCTAATATTTAAATGGTACCGTTGTCCAAAAAATATTGTAAGAAATGAAATTAACAAAATACTTCTTTCACAATGATTTAACTTTCATGTCAACATTGCTCTGTTATATACATGTAACTCTCTGAATGTAAACCAAGAATGTGATGAACATGAAATGTGTTTTATTCAATGTGCAAAATTAAATTTGATACAAAAAACAAAAAAACATAAGATTGGGTCTTTGTGTGTGTACATGTAGTTATGCTTTTTTTTTTAATACTGCCAGACATGCCATTTTGTTTTTGAAATACAAAATTAATGCTGAAGACCCCATATATATATATATATAATATGGTAATAAAAACAGGTATTAAATGTAACTCTTTTTGTGCTGCCTACCTATAATTTTTTTCAAAATATTTCACCAAGAAAGGAGCTACAAATTTGAGCCTTATAACAAACTGGTCAAAAGAATTACTGATATTTAATTTCATCTTTTTTAAATTTCATTATATAAACTATGAATAAAATACTGTTTAGAGTAGAACAAAATCTACATGATGTTATGAATATCTGTAGATCCCAACGGTTCCCTATCGTAATCTCATTCAGTCATCAGAAGACGATGCATAAAAAGTGGGGAAAAAAGATCAATCTTAGCAAGTGCAGAATAACTTGTTTCTTTACCAAAGTCACAAAGGAAACTTCCAAGTCTTATTGAAAAGTGGTGTCTCAATAAAAAATACTACATGTAGTAATTTTTAACACTGACTATCATGGTTTAATCCTGCTTACACAAGGAATCTTTTTCTTATGCATTTCCCATGCAATTTTAAATGTGCTCAAAGTAAACAAGCATTGCAGAACTAAAGACTAATATGCTGAACATAGTGATTGAAGCAATTATTGACAGTAAATTGAAAATTGAAAATTTACAAAAAACTATTTATATTATTGACTTCATGCTCCGCAAAATTCAAGACATCTTTTGGGAAATGGTGTTTCATGGGTCCTGATGTTTATTGCCATGCACTTAGCTTGCACCAGATTCCTTATGAAATAAGTTTCCACCTTTATGTCCGCAATCTCACACAGGTTGGATGTACAGTATCTATAAATAGGCATAAGTAGGACAGGACCCAGTCCCATTACAGATATTCTTTGGGATTGCCGAAGCTGGGTATTGGGTCAAATTTATACCTTCCATCCCTTTCAACAGTACTGGTAGTGGTTTATCAAAGTCTTCAAATTCAACTGCATAAGACTTTTCAATCAAACAAACTCACACATGGGTGAACGTTTACTCTCAAAATCGGGCAGGCAGGATGTCTCATTGGTAGAGCCATAGTCTTACAATCAGGAAGTCCCCACTTTGAAACCCAAGCCCTAGTGCACTTGTAATAAGTAAGTTATTAAAGATGATCATGCGTGGGTATATAAAGTAGTTGTTCATATAGTAGGTAATTTGGCGAACATTGAGCCAACAGGTATTGCAACTCCCATACGGACAGACGCATAAAGGGACACTAGTACGCACAGGAGCGTAATACCTGTTGGCTCAGCGTGCCGCCCTCTATATACCATGCAAGAGCAACTTAAATCTTCCATAATCAAGTTCCTTGAAAAAGACTTAAACCTGTATACTGGTTGCTTATCTTGAAGCAAATAGTCCTTTCCTCAGCAGTTGGTAAAACAATCATCATCATCATCAGTCTATTTGGTTAACACTGCAAGGTGTTGGGTTCTCCACAAGATCTTGGGGTACACCATCTTCAACTTCTCTTTCACAAAAATTCACAATATACATGTAAGAATATAGAAGAATATTGCATGCCTTACATAGGCCTGGTCCACAATGAAGTCCTAGTACTATCATTTATATTATGTCCTCAGGCAGAGTTTGATATCTGTTTTCTGACTCTTTCCGCTGCTTCACGGTTCAGTTTTCTCCGCCTCACAAAGACGACCATACAGGCAACTAATCCAATGAGTAACGTCACTCCTTCAAACACCCAAAATGATTTTTTCTATCGATTCCCTTGATCTTGGACAACTGTATGGAAAAAGATAGAAAAATGGAATACTGATATTAAAATCACTGATGATCAGAAGAGCCCAAAAGTTTTCACAACCTTAATTCTTCATACTTATCTTGATTTTTTTTTTTAAAATTCAATTCATAATTCATGAGTAAATGGAGCAGATCAATGGTTTTGATTAGCAAAGTGTGAACAATGTAGTGAAACTTGAAACGCAATTATGTATGAACAAAGAAAGTAAAGAACTTTTATAGGTAGCTTAGCACTACGTATTCACTATATACTAGTGCCACAAAAAAAACTTGTCCAGAACCCAAAATGTATAATAGTGGTGTTTTTTTTATTAAAAGTTATTTTATGACACATCTGAATGAAAGTTTAGCTAACATTAAAGCCTCATTGAGATGGTATGCATTCACCAACTCCATATCCTAATAATGTGTTTTCTACCTCGGCGTGAAAAAATGATGATTTTCAAAAATTATGCAGTTTGCATGCTTCTTTTTGTGCCACTACATTTCATCCAGGGCCCCATTTCACAAAACTTGTCATCAGTGACAAATGAGAGTTTTGTTATAAGCTACTGAAACCCTTGCTTCCAATTGGTTATCAGCAGACTTGTCACTGATCATTGTCATTGAAAAAAGGCTTTGTGAAACGGGTCCATGGTTTTCAACATACCCCCATGTAGAGGCCCCCTTGAGGATAGTCTGTACAGGGCTCTTTATCATTGTCATGTTACTCTGAACTTGACTAATCACTATGAAAAACAATTTGTTATTATTGTTTGGAAAAAAAAAGTCTTACCTTTTATAAACTTGTTGATTTGAATCTGTGCATTGAACTAATTGCTGGAATCCTGTCTCTGAACATGAATCTGTGTATACTTTCTGTAAGAGAATAACAAATACAAATACTGACATGAAAACATAAAATCAACTGTATTTGGGATTTTGGGTGAAATGTGACACACTCCTGAATTCATTCACAGAGAAAGAAAAGGAGATTTATGTACATCCCCATATCATGTATATATACTTGACTAATACTTTAAAGGTAAAGACCAGTATTGGAAATGCCCCAATTTCAAAAATGAAATGGAAGCTCTCATTACCAATCATGTGAAAGAATATGTTTTGACTAATACATGATATTAAAAAAAAAGCCGGGAAACCGCCTACTAATTCATATATTTGGTAAATTTGTTTCTCTCATGGTCTGTGAGAGATATAGGGTAGTCCCATATACATCTTTCTGTGTATAGTGTATGTAACTTTACGAAGAATGGGCCAAATTTCTTATCATTTTGATGATTCCAAAACCTTGCAGATGCTAGATGCCTTTCTCTGATCGATTCCACAACGTTTCTTTCACAATGCAATCGCATGACCAGAACTGGTCTTTACCTTTAAATGTAGTGCATGACAATAATAAATTCAAAATTCCATTTCAACACATTACAGTGGACCAGGAAATAAAACAAGAATGCCAGAATTTTCAGTACTTTATGAAAACTGTATAACTATGTGCTGGATTAAATACATTGAAGGAAAGGTACCATTTTTGGGAGGCCCAAGAACTATAGTAAATATTTTCTTTTCTCAATGATTCTGGGTGCGCAAGAATTTCCACTTGCGATATTGCAAGGTATAACTCCCAAATTATCTATATTTTTGGTGGTTTCTTGATAGTTATTTACCTTTCTTCTTCTTCAGTAAATGACTAAAGAATGAATGCAGGCAGGGGCGTACGCAGGGGGGGGGGGGTTTTGGGGGTTCAAACCCCCCCCCTTTGGTATTTTTATGTGTGTAAACCCCCCTAAAAAAAACCAAAACCCCCCCCCCCCCCCCCCCCCCCTTTGGGTTTTTTTTTTTTTTTTTTTTTTTTTTTTTTAATTATTAAAAAAACAAAAAAACAAAACAAAAAAAAAAATATACCCACGGTTAACCTAAAAAAGGTGACCTTACCCCCCCCCCCCCAACGAAGAAAAATGTCAAATTTTGAAATTTCGACACCAAAAAAAAAAAAAGTGTCCGCTTGCCCCCCCCCCCCCCCCCCCCCCCACTGAGCGACGTTTCGGCTGGCTGAGTCGTTGCGATTTTTTTTTGGACTCCAAAAAAAAAAAAAAAAAAGTGACCGCTTACCCCCCCCCCCCCCACTGAGCGACTTTTCGGCTGGCTGAGTCGTTGCGATTTTTTTTGGACTTCCAAAAAAAAAAAAAAAAGTGTCCGCTTACCCCCCCCCCCCCCCCCCCCCCCCCCCCCCCCCACTGAGCGACTTTTCGGCCGGCGCGATTTTCAAATTTTCGGGAGCAAAACCCCCCCCTTGAAAAAATCCTGCGTACGCCCCTGAATGCAGGTTTATATTTCCGACATGATCAATAGTTTATCATTTCTCTTTTTTTTAAAGGTAATACAAAGTTTAGGTATGGGGTCATGAATTTGGTTCAGATGAACATATTGGAAGCATAATGCGATCCTACAATATTCAGTGATGGTTGTCACGGTTAAAATCGCGTCTAAAGTTATGAAATTTAAATAATAAACTCTTTATGTTGTATAGCTTCCTCTCAACGTCAAGATATTAATTGAGCCGTAAAACCAAGTTTCTTGACTAAATCGACCAATTGGCTATTTCCGTTTAGAAATTATATATTAAATCTACATATTCTGAGATTTTCATGGTCGCAGCTGCAATTGTATGACCGTTAGCGCTATTTGAAATTTATCAGACTTTACCGGAAGCACCAGTAAATTTTAATATTCAATTTTACTCGAAAGCGAAAGTGCTTTAGGGGTTAAATTTTCTAGTGCTTATAATACATCCACAGGGGCATCTAAATATATCAAAATTGTAAAGAATCACTATCCTCCGATTTTCAAAATTTCCCAAAACTTTGCATTACCTTTAAACTGTCTCAAAGTGTAGTGTAATACTGCTGCAAGAATTTTCCAATAATTTGCCAAATATCTCATTAATAATTTAAGGTTTCTTTTTATGAAGGTTTGGAAAGAACATATAACGATCAACAATCCAAATGTAGAATTGGGCAATGTATACTTACTGAAGCTAAAAGATGACATGGATCACAGGGCCCAATAAAAGTAAAATTTTCTGTTTCCCAGCAAGTCTTCAGTGATCCTGCTCCATTGGTATTCTGATACTCCTCTTTCTCCTGGTCTACTTTCTCTTCACGCTCTTCAACTGGAGCACTTTTGTCAAAGAATGATAAGATAAAAGGAACGTTAAATGCATTGATTATAATTTAAAGATGTTATTGTGGTAAATTAATGTATGGTGAAAAGAAATGAGTAGTTAAACAATAGTCAAATGTATTATCCAAACTGTCCAATGGTAGTAATACCACTAGTATAGGGGCTGCAATCTACAAGCCCAGCTTTTCAGCAGTCCCCTCCATGACCAACCTGTTTTATATGCCTGTTGTACACTGTGGACCAATTACAAATATATTGTTAAGTTTCATTGTTTTACTATGTAGGTCTACAATGCAATCACATGAACTTTATTTATTTTGTTGGAAATTGAAATAAACGAAATGAAATGAAAATGAAATGAAAAAGTATTAGTCCAAGTACAGTTTTGTTTGAAGGCAAAATAGAGAGCTGAAGAATCGTGATGGGAAATTAACCCTATTTTTTAAACCTAGATTCTTTGGGTAGGGAGGCCAATGCCCAAATCTAACTTTTTAATTACTAATTTGTTTATACTAAAACTAAGATTAAAAGAAAGCATTTACTTTCACTAAGAAAATCCACCCATCTGCCGACTCCATAGGTTCCATCAAATAGGAGATATCCAGCTGGTTTGTAGCCATTTCCTTCTACGCCTTTCCGTACGTAAGAGCCTTGAAACAATTATATTTCATGTCGCAAAGTTACGTTCATAATTAGACAGGCCCGAGGGACAAAGTTCATGATGAAGTTTAAAACTTCGCGCGAAAGTGCAATCACTCAACAGCGGCTAGCCTTGAATCGGTCGCACACGTACACACCTTCTTCTTCTTAGTTGATCCCTCCACCGACACAGGCAAGCCCCGATGCAGGCTGAAGTCCAGCCATCAATGTGCGAACGATTACATCTTCTACTACTACGAGCCGAAGACGATGGTTCAAAAAAGGAAAGAAATATATATAATTCTTTGATATTTACCTTAGATGTGTATTCCAATAATTTGATTTCCTCATGAGTATTCCTTATTATCAACGATCGAGAAGTTACGAGGTCCAATTAAAATCCATCTTGCAGCGAACACAATCATAGCGCACATCCGGATCCATGCATGCAACGTACGTGTACTAATATTTCTCTCACTCTCTCTCTCTCTCTCTCTCTCCCTTTCGCTATACGTAACATACACACTCACTAACCATGTATCATACAACACACACCTTCAAATCATGGCTTTCATTTCAATTCTCAATTGGAGTATAGACTGCTCACGTAGACTTTTTTTTTTACTGAAATATCTTTTTTAACACTTCTCATACATTACTGCACGACACTCGTATCTAGTGCTGTGAGAATAAGGTACTAGGGTCTATAAATAAGACTACGCTTTGCGCACGATCTGACCGGAGCTCAGATTATGTCGCGAACAATTATTATTTTTGGCGCGAACAATGACGTCACTGTTCACTGTTTTCCTTCTCATTTTGAGATGGATGTAGCTATAGGGCTCAAACCAACGCAAGATTGACAGAAACATCGTACTCTATCTACTTTCGAATGTTCAGTTTGTAAAAATCTGTATTTAAAAAGATATAATCTTTTTTCTTTATATTTTCTAGTTGTTAGAAGTGCCAATTGTGAACATCTGAAATGTTGATCTCTATCAAAAGTTCTTTACTCAAAACGGATCCCATATTTTTAGGGTCTACCTTCTGCCAATGAGAAGGTTTTTAGTGAGCAAACCTCTACGCCCTCTAGGATTTTCTTAGTCGGTGGTGCGAGTGCGTCAAGGTCGTCTGCAACCACAATTATTGGATTAAAAAACGTCAAAATCTGCAAGATTGTCAACAAATGGTGAAAGACTGTTACAGATCCGTGATTATAGGTATGTTGTGAAATGTATAATTGTATTTTCTTTTCATATTTTCTTCAATTTTTATTTTTACATCATTTTTTTCCCTTTGCTAATTTTTTGAAGTGGGCGACGAGCGCACAAATCGTAGGTGTAGAAGCCTTACGCCCGGGCATTGGCCTCCCTACTTTGGGTAGAACATTTAATATCAGCATGTCGAAGTAAGTAAGCACTGAAAAAGTATGGAGCTCATGGAAAGTTTCATTTACTTAAAAAAGCAACAAATATTAATGATTTGATTAAAAGGCTGTTTGAAATATGGGTTGGCAAAATTTGATGCAATGTGAATGTGACTGATTACACCATATCTTTTCAATCTCCTAAAATCCTATAAAATAGCAATAATAATCATGTCTCACTCTCAAGTAATAAATAAATTACTAAATGTACTTACCCGAGCACTGTCATAGTGTTAATGTTGAGTACTAGGAGTGTTGCTATGATACCTGTCATGCACAGGTCTAGAACGGATTTCCACATGGCTGTCTCTCTCCCTGTTGCAATAAGCACCTAATTAAAACAAATTGTGTTGGATTTTTAAGGAGGCATCAAATTTGACCGTTATTTATCCCTGTAAACAATAACAGTCTACAGATAACATTTAATACGAAGATGGAAATTATGTCATCCTACAAATTAACTTAGGTTTGGTAATAAAAATAATATCATAATCATATCAAATTGAAATATGATAGCACCACCCAGCAAGTTACCACGACGTTGATCTGTCCTTCTTTTTCGTCAGCACAAAGACCCAACCCGCGGCCGTCAACTTACATATTTTACAACGTATGGGTCTGTTTAAAACACATAAAAACATTCCCGCAGTAAACGTTTGTAAAACACGTATGTAAAACGTTTTCTGAATGAACCAACAATGTATAATCAATCAAGTTGGAAATATGTACTTAATACATACCCAAGAATACTTTTGACCTCTTTGAAAAATGGTTAAAATGTGTCCAGACTGTGGAGAAAAAATTGTGACGTTCCCGAGAATGAGTTGGCAGCTGAATTTTTCGACTAATCTCGTGGATGATGACTCATTTTGTGTGATATGGTAGAGTAAACTTGATAATAATCACACCAAAAAGGGATCAACGCATGTAAACACATATACATAAATATAGTTGAAGACCTGAACCAACAGATTAAAAGAGGCAAAAACTTGCCATAAATCAAGATGGAAATGATCAGGGAGAGATAGAATGATTGAGGCGGACAGATAAGCTTGAGAGTTGGCGAAGGAAATGAATGGGTTTGAAATATATTTACACTAGTTGGCCAAAGTGTGATACATGTTCATTTCATTTTTTTTCATCTCATTTTATTCAAAACCACACAAAACATGAATCTTTTACATAAAAAGAAACTGGTAAAATCAACATATATTAAAATTGATTTTACATCATTAAATAAATGGTTTTAGAACCCCTTTAGAAGCTGTATATTATATCGAGAGCGGGATCGAAATCTAAAGAGAGAGAGAGAGAGAGAGAGAGTGTGTGTATGTGTATGGGTGTGTGTGTGTGTGTTAAACGAAGAGAGACCGACAATGTGGGGACAAGTGAAGTTTTTTATGAACTTTTAACTCTGGGCTATTGGGGCTATTGTAGCTTCATTTAAAAGATTTTAAAAAAAAGTTTTGAATAGATGGTTTCCATTTGTCTGTCGCTCCGGGTGGTGTGTGTGTCGCATGGTGGGGAGGGGGGGGGGGGGGGTAGTGTGTTTGGTTGGATGGGGTTATTTGTTTTATGTTGCAACTGATTTCATTTTTGTTTTCATCAATTGTACAATCTATGTAATAAAAAAATTTGAATTCATGTCAAGGAAAAACAACTCTATTTTATTTCTAAGATTAATTTGTATTGTTTGGAATCAATAAAAAAAAATACTATTGAAAAAAAAAGTAGGTCTACAGGCAGACACAGAAAGTAATGGGAAATGACTGATGAGTGGAGGAAAATAGTTGGGTTTTTACATTTTTGGAGTATATTTTGTTTTATCATGTATGTGAAGAATTAAAAAATGCACATAAAAAGTTATCACAAAAGCTACAAGCAGGTAGTGAAAGTAGACAACAGGTGCCAATTTGTTTGCAAAGCAAAGAACCCATGCCTGGCGGAGAGGGGGAGATATAAGAGAGATATATAACTGGAGTGAAATATATACTAGATATATATATATATATCATATATATTGTAGAGGTGTTGTGGACGAGTGGATAAGTCACCGGACTGTGGATCACAAAGTCCGTGGTTCAAGTCCCGCTGCAGCACTAATGTCCTTTGGCAAGACATTGATCTACATTTGCCACTCTCCACCCAGGTGTTAAATGGGTACCCGGTAGGATGCGAAAGCTAATGTGGTTAGATTAGCAAGTGTGCGCATGTAAAAATGACGCCTGGCTGGAATACTCCCCAGGGAGTGGAGAATGTGCATACATTGTGTGCGGGTAAGCCTGAATCCAATGAACGGGGTAATAATATACTTATCTGTAAAGCGCTTTGTGAGGAAAAGCGCTATATAAGAACAAGCTATTATTATTATTATTCAAATATTCAAATGTGAATATATTTTTCCATATAAAAAATAACTATCCATCTTTTTATCTTTCGATTATTTTACCTCTATAGTAGGCAAATATAGAAACTTCTACCCGTCTTTAGACTCATAAAATATATCATTCTAAGACGTCCCATGAAAATTTAACCAAGCTACTGGCAACTGAACTTTAGATTGCTTGGCTAAGCCAAGGAGTGCCACTTCAAAGAAGTGGCACTGAAGAAATTATCATCATATTTGTATCTATTTGAGTTGGTATAAAAGAGCAATATTAAGAACAATATATTTTAAAGCATAAAATAATAATAATAATGATAATGAGAAGAAGAAGAAGAAAAACGAAGAAGGAAGATGATGATGATGATAATGAAAATAGCTATACATTGTAGTTTGATTTTCTCCTCAAGGACACCATACAAAAAAACATCGGCTAGCTTCAGTGATGTTTACATAATCAGTGATAGGCATGTAGGCTACACTCACTACTAGCACCTAGAACTAACTGTGTGTATGTATACATGGTCAGCTCTGAGAAGTGACTGCGACTCCCCCGTTCTTTAACGTTGGGTTGGCCTTGCACTTTGGAACTATATCCTCAAAACATACATCCCGACTAGTAGTACAAAGCTTTGTACCATCACAAAGTCCAACACTATGTATGGATGTGTTGAGACGAATAGAGAAGGAGGTGGAGAACCCAGTGTAGAAATGGCGAACCAAGAAGATCGAGATTTAGACCAAGTTGTTGTTGATGCATCTGCATGGGTCATGACAGAATGCCGAGAGTTTGTGAAAAGGACGTTCACCTTTCTTCCTGCCAAGGAGCTCAATACTTGTGCCAGGTGAGTAGCAAACAAAATAAAGTAAATTTAACCAAATAAAACCAAACAATTCAATGGAAATAGCACTGTTTACTACCAGCATGCATTACATAATATTCAAAATGTACTGTTAATGTTATTGTTGTTATATTATTATTATTATGATGATGATAATTTTGAATAATATTTTTATTATTATTATTGTTGTTATCATCACTATTATTACCAGTATTATCATTATTTATATCATCTTCATCACCACCACCACCATCATCATCATCATCATCATCATCATCATCGTCATCATCATCATCATCATTATCATCAAATCATCATCATCATCATCATCATCATCATCATCATCATCATCATCATCATCATCATCATCAATATTATTAATATGATTACCATTATTCTAAAAGTGTCAATATAATTGAAACTACATAAATAAATAAAGTAATTACCTGTGTTTTAACTAAGCACAATAATATAAATCTAATGCCCGACCCTGACATGAAAAGTGAAAATCATGGAAAGTTTCAAGAAAAAAATGATAATCATCAATTTAGAATGAGAGTGGATCACATTTTGCCTGGTTCGATTATTTTGTAATTATTTTGTCCAAATTTTTCTCCAAAGACATGTCTAAGTTTAGTCTGAAGCATGCAGTTTTTTTGTTTTGTTTATATATTCCAGAGTTTGTAAGGTGTGGCAGAGAGAAGCCCATCGGATCCTGTCTAGGAGGCAAGATCTTAACTGGGTCTCTGAATTGAAATCATGTCACACTACCAATGAAAAGACCACACATCCTTTGGGATTCTTTGGCCATTACTTCCAGAAAACTACACAGGTAAAAGATCTTGGACAGTGCTTGAAAGTTGAAACTAACAGGGGTTCAAGGCAAAATTGCAAATGGATCCCCAAATTTAAAACTGGACAATATTTTTAAATCTAAACAAGAGGCACATGCTGACATGCATTATAGAGACATTGAATACCGTATACCAATTCAGACCTCCTGTGAAATATGTAAACATAGAGCCTTGTTGAAGATTAATTTCTAAATTAGAAGTGAAAATGTCATGACTCTCAGCTTGACACACAATGAATTTGCAGGACAGTGATAGTAAAAAGGGAAACGCTATGGGATATTTTCTACTGCTTTATTTGCGTATTATTCTATAGAAAATGGATGTTTGTTAGGAGAATGTCAAAACGTGAATACTTAGGTCATATGATTTTACTTGTCATGTTTAAATTCATGTAAATGGTAAAGAAGATAAAAGCCTTGAAATCAAATAGAAGTGAAAGGAAGACTTAAAGCAATTATAGGGAGAAATATAAAAATACATATAAAAGTAAGAACAATGGAATCAGAAGAGAGGAATACAAAAAGAATGTGGAAAAGAAGGAAAGGAAAACAATGTAGAGGACATACCTACTGTAGCAGTATAACTGGAAGCCCGACTGCTGAAAACACAGCATTCTTCAAAAAATCTCGGGGAAAGTTAAAGTATATTCTCATCTTATCCGATGTCTTTCTCTTCCTGATAGTCCATTGGCCCCATCCCAAAGTTTGCCCTGATGTTTACAGAGTACTCTAAGGGTTTGGACTACAGGAGCATTCCCGGGCAGAAGAAGAAGAAATCTGAAGACAATGGACCCCAGAAATCACAGGAGGTTGTAGATTATTTTAAGTCCCTCCTGCCTCAGGATTGTGTGTTGCTGAGCCTGATGACTCCAGGTATTGTTGGTAAGTTATGGAAAATCATTGATCTGGATTTGTGTAGCAGTTAATTCTGAACGTTCTCATAATATGTCATTCTAACTACTGATCAACATGATTTACTATGCATTATCACCCCATTCATTGGGTTAAAAAACAGTACCAAGGTTTTTACAGTGCTTGACACCTATTAGATAAAGTAAATTTTGATTTATAGCCATGCAGACAAAAGCACCCACTCTTCTGCCTGGTATAGGGAGCATTCTAGATACCAAACCAGTCAATGAGAATGCACCCAGCACTCTTCTGCCTGGTATAGGGAGCATTCTAGATACCAAACCAGTCGATGAGAATGCACCCACTCTTCTGCCTGGTATAGGGAGCATTCTAGATACCAAACCAGTCGATGAGAATGCACCCACTCTTCTGCCTGGTATAGGGAGCATTCTAGATACCAAACCAGTCAATGAGAATGTATGTGGAGAACCCTATCACAATATCTCCTGTTATCTTATCAAGTAATACCATTTCTCTCCTGGGTATAGAGTGGCAGATGAAGGAAATTGTAGTGTCTGAATTTAAACACTGGCAGGTTATTAAATTGATCCAGGATTTCCACAATGCTACAACACCCCAATCATGATTTTAATTACCGGTAGGTGGTTTTAGTGTAGCCTTTTGATAGTATATCTTTGGAGTTTTTCTTTTATATTCTCTATGATTTACTTTATTTGTTTATCCACCAAAAGTACCAAAGGACAGTTTGAGCACAAAGCCCGGTATGGAGAGCGAGGGTGAAGGTGGGGCGACCTGCGCCCTCTTCCCAAACATCCCCGGTGTCCGGATCAACCTCCTTCCCATCTCACCCAAGCTCCTGCAGGGAGGATACAAAGAGGAGCTATGGCAGCGGTGGCTGGAAGCAGGCATCTCTCCTAACGATACCCAGTGTGTTCTGCTCTTTGGGTGGGGGTTCATCTCAGGAGTGCAGCAGGCAGCCGCAGAGCTCCAGAGGCTGTTCCAGGAAAAGGCCAGAAAGAACCCGGTCATTGCTGGAGGAATTGTCAACAGATTGCTGAGTAAAGGACTCTGCTCCAAGTGAGTTATTAATTTTGTTCGTTATTTTTTAAAGATTCTGATCTGACTTTAAAATGAATGATCTGTTAGTCTGATATTATTGAAGATTAGGCTGTGGTGAAGAGCAATAAACAGTTGCCCCTCCTCCTTCTCCCAGGGAAAAAATTAGGTTCATAATGATGATGTAGGAGGAGTGCAAGGAGATAATGAGGATAATGTTGAAGATGATTATAATGATGATAGTGGTGGTGATGATGGTCATTTGGCCACTTATTATGACACCTGCATATTACATGTAGATTTACAAATGCAAACCAAAATGTGTGTATGTTGTAATTACTTTTCATCTCTATATGACAGATCTGAGGAATCATCTGGGGTGATAGGAGTAACGTTCTCAGGACCCAATGTGAAGGCCATTTCAGTGATCCTCAACGAACAGGTCAGGACACGGAGTGAAGCAAAGACTGCCATCGCGAGGCTGAAAGAAGCCAACCTTCCCGTCCGACCAAAGTTCAGTCTTGGCTTCATGTTTGCTTGTGCAGGGCGGGGACAACACTTCTATGAAGAGGACAATGTGGAGAGCGAAGAGTTCCACAAGCTCTTCCCGGACACGCCTTTGTTCGGGTTCTTCGGAGGTGGGGAGATAGGCTGCTACAACTTGACAGCCGGGAGAGACATTGAGGGCTTGTTGCTATCGAACACTGCTCATGCATACACCACGATTATGTGCCTTCTGACCTTTGACCCGAGTTAGGACATCATGTGATTTGATCATGTGAGTAAACTCTGTAAACTTGAAAAGACTGACAATGTTTTCCTTTCACACTGTATGTGTGATGATGAGAGATGTGAACCAAGCAAATCATCTTCATTGTGTATCATCATCAAGTTAGATTGCAGATCTGTCATGGTCATGAGTGATGGACTACAGAAAAGATTGGTATGTGCTCCTTGAAAGTTTTCTATTCCTCGAATGAACGACCAGACTCTGATACTACTATACAACTACATTTGTCTGATTACATGTGGGCCTGCATATTCCAAAGAACCTGCGTAGGAAACCTGAATCAGTTTAGGTTGACAAAGTGTTACGATATACGATATCCGATATATCCGGTATCCGTCGTAGTTCAATAAACATGTTCACCATCATCACAAACCTGACTGCCGACTCGTCTATTATCATGAGTATCTACCAAATCTAAGACCCTCGAACTCATCATGGTGGCAGCTGCTGGGATCTTCGAAATCAGTTTCGATTTTTGAAGACACAATTGATCCAGTTCACGACAGTTGGGAAGTATAATTAGCAAAATTATCGTTGATTAGCGATTTGTCACGTCGCACATTTTCGTATGCATAGTACGTGCACCGTACATACAGCACAGTGTACCGAGACACTGATGCTACTGCATAATCCTGATGAACTCGTACGTGAATGGTGATGTGTGTATGAGCATATAAAGGTTCATAAAGCCTGCTCAGAATAGCCTAATCAAGTTATAACTGTGCTCAATCACTGACACAGGGGTCTGCATAATAACTAAACTAAAGTTTAAATCTAAAATTAAACTAAATCAGAAGTGTGAACAACATTAAAGCTGTTTTCAGATAATATTAACAATAATATCTGGTGTGTGAGGAACTGTCACTGTCAGACATTGAGTGAGAGTGATCAACATTTTCATTGCATGAGACACCTAATGACATTCACAGAGGTGCGAGAGTGTACACAGGTATACGTAATCTGGTATTTTACGTAAATACCGTCCATATTTATGCAAAATTTCAAAAGTATGAAATATATGCTGTAGGTTATGGAGATTAATGGTCATTTCTTTATTTATCTACATTGAAACATGCATAGTCGAGTAGTTGTACATATACGTTTATGTAACCTATTATAGTTGTACGAATATAACAGGCATGAAATAAAGCATTGTTATTTTGGTAAACACAAACTACAATCAACAAAAATATGAAGAGCAAAATGGGTATGCAAAGGAAATGTGAAAAAGCTGAGGAATGCTAGAAGTTCTACTTGTTTACCCATGACTAAACATTGTAAAGATTTATCTTTCCTTACTAGGGGCCATGCTATGCACACACTGTAAACTTTACAAAGTCATTGAGGACGGAAGCTCAGCACAAGACCTGTGTTGTTGTTTGCTGAACAGAGTCCGTAGATCTTGTTAAACCAATATTTTATTTGATACTGAAAAACAGATAGCTATCTGCAGGGTCATCATAAGGATTATTTCTATGAATGAGTGAGAACCAGTTGTTATTGTTATTGTGAGATAATGTAATAAGCCAGTTCGTAAACACAATCTGCGCATGGACATACAAAGTCAAAGGTTGTTTCAATTGAAAAACCTAACAAGAAGTATGATGAATACCTGTTCATGAAAGCTATGTAATCATTACGGTATTCATTTATGCAACAACAGTACATTCTATGAAAGTATTCTTCTCAAGAGGGAAAACAAAAGGAATTCAAGAAGCACCCATGACTTTGGCAGTGATTATTCTAAAACGCACAAAGTGGGACGTCTCCATGTTTAAAAGATCTGTGGATATTCAGGGTCATTTGAACCATGTGCTAAGTACAACCTAGTGTATAGACTTGATCATCAACAAACATATATTTCCATTCATTGAAGGTGAAATTTCTTATCTCATCAGGAAACAAAGGTGATAAGGAACATACAGGTACATGTACATGACGAATTTAGGTCAGTAGGCCTGATACAGGTAGTTGACTTAATTACTTTCGTTACCCATGTACATTTCTTTTAATTTTATGCCTTGTTTGTCGAGAAGTAGTCTGTAATTACAGACTATATTCTGACACTTATACACAATTCCATGAAGCCTTAAGCCTAGTCTTAACTTATTTCAAACAATTGGTTGTGTTGTCAGGAGCTACATTACAGGGTCTATGGAGTGCAGCCTGGTTAGTCGTACAAACAAGACCCTCTGTTATGCATTACAAAGGGTCTGTAATGGCAAGCCAGTCCAAAATGCTAGTCAAAGGAATGATGACTCGTATGTGTTTTATGGCAGCATATACACATTCTAGTGATATGGTACACTACTGAGGGGAGAATGTATAAAGTTAACAATAGAAAGGGATATGTTGGCGATAACATACTTTTTAAACTCCATTTATTTATTGAAAAGTGAATGAGAATAAAAAACTGTCTAGTGTTTATGTATCATATTTCTGAATTCAACAGATTGAATACCAAAGCAGTGATCAATTTGAATCATACTCATATTTTATTTAATGAAAATTCTACCATCCCAAGCAGTTTTTTAAAAAGTCCTTGGGGTGTTTCGTAAATATAAAATATAAGAAAAATAGTACAGGTCATCACAATTATGGCATTATTCACCAATCTGAGAACTCATCTCAAGAGTGGTAAATTTATTTAACCTTTTATACTCCCATTTTTTAAAGAAGAATATTTTGTTTTAGGGTGCTATACTGTACTTACTGTGTTATTTTGTATTCTGTTCCGTGCCAGGCTGAAAGGATACATCATTTCAAGTGTATGTTGAAAAAATATAATGTATATATAAACATGTGCTCAGAGAATATGTTTTTAATTGAAAGGGGGATGAAGACTAAGTGTCTCATTGTTATGTTTGAATCCTATATTAATGTAAACAGATGTTTATAAAGAATGATTTTTGTTGTTGTTGAAAGAAACAAAGAATTAATTTGTTGTGGGATATTTGCAATATATTAGAATTTTGTACAGAGTATGCACTATGGTTTTTTATATTTTATTTTGTTCATGTTGTATGCACTATGGTTACTATATGGTGTACATGTTTCTTGATTTCTAACAAGAACAAAGTCTTATCGGTGGGGACATGTGAATTATTAATAAATCTTGTACATGGAGATTTTTTTCAAAGATCTCTTTGTTCACTCGGTTTGTATTTCATTTAATGCATGCACATATTGATTATTCAGTTTTGTAGTGAAGTGTAAATTTTATCAAGAGTCATCCATCCACCTACAGTGTACATGTATGATCATAATCGCAAAGACTTCCGTGTGTTCCCAAATGGATTTCATCAGTTATTTTGCTATACAAATAAAAGTGATTCAGATGAATTTCTATTCTCTGCATTTAACTAGGGTAAAGCAATTGATATGGAACATTAATTTTGTTGTTTTGTTGCAAGCAGGGCAGTTTATAGACTACATACCATTTTACTGAATACAAAATCAAACTATGTCAAAGAAATAAAAGAATACAGATAATGGCAAATATAACGTTTTATGACGCAGGTTGAAATGACATAGTAGCAGAGGGGGAGAGATAGAGAGAGGGAAAGGGGGAGGGATTATTCATATTATTCACATGGTGGCTTTAATTAGTGGCATTTCGCGGACCAAGCTGTTGAGAGGATGGTCCCTCTCTCTCTTCTCTCCTCTCTCTCAATCTCTCTCTCTCTCTCTCTCGATCTCTCGATCCTCTCTCTCTCTCTCTCTCTCTCTCTTATTTCTCTTTCTCTCTCTGTCTCTCTCTCTATTTTTCTCTCTCTCACACACTCTCTAGCTCTCTCTCTCTCTCTCTTGTCTTTCTATATTTTACACCATCGATACACCATCTATGAAATACTTGATAAACAAATAACCAAAAAGGAGACTCAATCAAACGATCCTATTAGTTTTTTTTAAACATTTTATTTTTATCATTTTATTGTATTTCACATAAATTCATAATTCATTGTCTTTCTTTTGCACATTGCAACTTTTACTTCATTCTTTTCAATCTTGTCAGCACCAGCCTACTTTACTTTCTCCATTTCGATTGTGTTCTGAAACAAAATGATGAGGAAATCGAATCGGTTTCGTCATGGTTGCCATTTTGTGTTCAGAACCGTCTGTATCACGTGATCCGCCAGTTCCCTTCCCGCTGTACATCCCCTAACCAAGATAACCTGCTTTTATCATCACAAACCAACATAATCCCACAAACACTTCAAAGTTTTTTAGTTTTCACGACAGAGAAGGATTTAAAATTCTCTTCAGTCGGGGACAAAACTTTGAGGGTGTTTCTGGATGTCAGTGAGGACATGCAAGTCAGGTTGTTTGAGCTACGAGTGCTCGCAGTACTAAAAGAACTGAACAAATCACCTAACCATTATTGTGATAAGACGCTTTTCAAACTTTTCTCTTAACTTTCCTAGTCCTTAGCATTCATTTTCATTGGCCATTTCTCTGCTCTATACGCTTTCTATGGTCTTTCCAGTATAATACCATATGCCATATATCATAAACAAATCATATAAATATATATACTTAAGACATTCTATTGGGTCATAAAACTGTCGTAACATTTTCAAGTCATTTCTATCTTCAAAGACAGAAATCATGGGGAGCGTAAAAATATATTCAAATATTTACGAATGCATATTATCTAATGCAACAACATTTTCCATCTACTTGTACTTTGCAGGCCATGTACTACAAGTGCCATATTGATTTTCAAATGCCATCTATGTTTAGGGAGACGCCTTCCTAATGGTCTAGCCTTTTCTGTCAATCTTAAAACTGTTGATATTTCGTACTTGGCATAGACCCTGTTCGTGCTCCGAAACGACTGTCGAACTCCATTTGGGTTCTTTGATCGTATACGGAGCCATCTGGTCGTGACCTTCCGATTCCCTTCCCGCAGGTTGATTCCCGATCCCAAGCATACAGATCTCCAGTCTTTCCCACTCAACGCGCGCGCGCATGTTTGCGAATCTCCCGAAACCTTCTAGCTCATCGAGGGTATTGAATTCGATGTGTTAAAGGTTTCGGGTGGTTCGCTGAGGTTGTAATAGCTCTAGGGGAAATACCGAAAACCTGCCAGCTTGAGAGGAGAATATCCGCAGTACTAAAGAAACCGATAAGTCACTTTAATTCATTATAGTGACCAGATGCGCTTTCTTTCCTATTCTCCCTGTATCTGTTCTCACCATAGTCATTCTTGACTATCAGGTTTGAAAATAGTTCGAGCGTAACTGTAGCTCTTCTGTCTATTCTGGTTTGATTGCTCTTATGTAGATATAAAAAGCCTTAGTTTATCCTGATTGGAGTTTTAAATCCATCAGCTATCATCAATATCATCATTCGAACCTTTTCTTTGAGCCTGCCTATGCATCGTATTTTTTTGCCGATTTTCTTTGGTTGAGAATTAAAGGCCCATAATTCATATTTTCTTTCCTTATTTGATTTGAGGCTCCCAGGATGCAGTTACACCGAAAGCTATACTGCTCAAATATCTTTAACTAATATCAAATATCATATCATGGCAAGATTATGAGAGAGATTTCCTCTGTGCTTTGGTGATGACCTTCTCAATGTGTTTCCATGAGGGTCGTAGACGAGCTTTAACATGGGTCATCTCATCTGCTAGGTCACGCAGAGGTCGACTCCTTATCACCTTCTCAATCCGAGCCAGGACCTTGCCTAAGGAATATATGTCAGTTTGAATAGTCATGGGTTGTAGATCTAGGATGAACTCTGGTGCCAGATGCGGGAAGAGGGTACCCTTCTTGTACCCTTCTAACTCCTCTTTGGGTAGCTGTTTGTGCCTGAGTGGTATGATCTGAGTAGAGACTTTGCCCATGTCAATGATGAAAGCATGCCATCGTTGATCTTCAAGGTTCCATTGTAAGAGGATGTTGTTAGCTTTCAGGTCGTTATGTAAGAGACCTTCCTCATGCATGGCTTTCAATCCGTGGATGATGTCCATGATGATCACGAACCAGTTTTCTTTGGAGAGAGCTGGAATTTGGAACTTGATAGCCTGACTGAGCGTGTAGATTGTACCGGTGTTCTTATCACCAAGGAACTCGAGGACGAGAGATGGAGCACCTCCGATGTCAACGATGCCGACTGTCTTCGGGAATGAGGGGTGGTCAGCGAAGGCGAGATTGACTAGGGCTTCCATGGTGGTACGAGCGTGATCAGCTTTGATTCGAACCATCCTCTTTTCATCATCTTCATCCCTGACTCCCTCGCTGATGTAAGGCACTTTGACGGCCACAGCCTCACCTTGGTACTGCCTCAAGAATACTTTCCCGAATGAACCCTTTCCGACGAGATCATCATCCGCATCGACGTCGGCTCCGACCAGGAATGAAAGGTCTTCAGACTTGATGACGGGCACCTTCACATCTGTAAGAATCCTATCGATCACAGCTCGGTCTATGTAGTTCATGTTGTCATACACCGAGTCCTCTTCATGGAGCATGTCCTTGTGGAAGCTGTACGTGAGTGAATCAATTTACAAAATGTTTACATGTTTCATGATTTATTTGTTTTTAACTTAATTTTTACCGATTGGTGAAATCTTATCCATTATCGACAATAACTTAGACCATGCAGAGGACCTGTGAATATATCCCCCACCCCAAAAAACAAAAACAACATAAACGGGTTTTCAAAGGGGTGCCATATCAGCCGAGGAAATCTTACATTGCCATTTCAATTCTATCTCATCATGATGAGTGTTAATTATTGATTATACTTACACAGATAGTTCGTATCTGAGCTTCTTGATCAAGCTTCCTTGTCTGCAAGTCTTGTATTGAAAATCTTTTATCATCTCCTTCAGTTCACATCTCTCTCGCTCTCTAGGACTGAAAGAAAGAAGACACAACATTTTGAGTAAAGTTTTTTGTTTAGATTACGCTCAATGATTCTTTTATCAATAAGCTTCAAGTTTCCATCAAGGTGTGGAATTGTTTGATAAAGAAGTAGTCAAACATATTTTTTTTTATTACAAATATTTCATTCTTATTCAATTCATAAATGTAATCATATTTAGCTTTCATCTGATAATATAATGAATTGCTTTACCTTTTCTCTGCAGCCGAATCTCCGCATTCAAGAAGGGGATCTCCGATACCAGGAATACTGATCTAAGAGAGGAAACAAAATCAGAATACGGAAATTGTATTCGTTTATCTCAAAATGCGGAGATTTACAGTCATTCCTACTCAATATATAAATATGAGTCTTCTATTTTTCATCTAATCAATTAACAATTACATTACATGTACACAAAATAAATTCTATTTTAAACACAAAAGCGAGTGAAACTGTTACCAATGTCGCCAAATTTAATGACAAACTCCAGGAAAATAAATTTAGGATAAATGCGATATACACTACACTAAATCAAATTTAATGGTGTGACGTACCATTTCTTCGAAGGTCTCTTTGGTCTTCTTCAAATTGACAATCTCGAGTTTCATATTTGCATTGAGTTGTTTCATATCTTCGAGAGCCTTGAACAGATCAGTGATGCAGATTGAATCCCCAACCGTTTCTACAACACCATACTGAATGGCGGCAGCAGCCATAGAAGCTTTCATACTCTGCATGGAGAAGAAGGGGAAAAGAAAGAGGAAAATAAACAAGGAATTCTCAACGAAATGCGCGTTTTATATCTAATTAGGTTGGGGATTTTGTCCATTTGAATTCATCATACTTTTTTTCGTCCCATTATAGTGAACTTTACTGTATCTTTTACTTTAGTTCTGGGTGCAGGTACACATAAATAAAATATAACCGTTTATAGACCGTCTAGCAGAGCTAAATTGTAAATTGATGCCTTTCGAATAGTACACTGCAAATATTTCTTGGTTTCGAACCCAGACGGTCCTGTTTTCAAGACCTTTGCTCTATCCAGGAAACTTATTCGTTGCTTCTTTTTGTTCTTCTTCCCATTGGCCATCTATTTGTACTTAGCCTTGTCTCTGTTCTAGAGCTTTTGTCCATTTGTTGTGATTTTTTTTTTAAGTGTAAGAATAGAAAATTATAATAGCCATACTGAGATGGGATGTTTCTTACCTGAAGCTCACCCTCTAGTTGCTTCTGTCTATTCTCAGCTAGAAATACTTTCTTCTCCAGTAGATCGAGCATTTCTACCAAAGTGAATGCTCTCCCTTCAAGCTCCTATATAAGAGATAAAGGTTTACATTATGTTCATTTACCATCTCCGCTATTATCATTACTGGTATTTTTCAGTAACTAACCATTAATTTGTTGTCAAAAGTTCATATTCCTGAGGAGAACAAGTATGTCTAGCATATGCGCCTGTACATGTAGATTGGAAAGCAAATGTAGCTTTGAATGTATTAGGAGTTGTATTGGAAATTTCGAAAAATGTCGACTAAATCATTTATTTTTTACTAATGTAGCTTTTGGTTATTAAAAGTCTGGTTGAATGGTAAAACATAAGGGCATCGATGTGCTTATTTAAATTTGCACGCGGATTCTAAGAGTTTTCCGAGATATCATTTCAATTCCCCCCCCAAAAAAAAAAAAAAAAAACAAGAAGAAGATAAATAAAATAAAATAAAAATAATTATAATGATAATAAATAAATAAATAAATGAAAGAAAAAAAATGTTAATTAATGTTTTACTTACCTCATTGCTTTTCTTCTGGAACTCTATTTGGTGTTTGAGACCTCTGTTATGAACGTTAAGATCTTTGTTATCAGCTTTGTAATCAGCAACCTTATTCTTGGCAAGCTGTAGGGATGGCATAATACAGTAAAGTTTAGATTTATTAGTGACAAATAGAATAATGTGACAATTCAATAATGACTATGTAAGTTATTTAGGACTCATGAGTACTAGAATTTCAATGAAAAGAAAAGAAAAAGAATGCCAAAGCCTGTAGAATTCCAATAATATTTTATTACCTGACACAAAAATTCGAGGCAATATAATGTTTTCTTTCTTCTTTAGAAAGAAAAAAAAACACAATCTATATCTTTATTGACATAAACTGGTACAATAAAGTTTTTACCTTGATTTCATACTCGAGTATCGTATTCTTCTCTTCAATATTCAATCTTAGTTCTTCGGCTTCTTTGAACTTTTCCATGGCTACCTTGTTTTGCTCGGAGAAATCCTGAAATGATGAAAAGAATATATAAATTGGAAAATGTTACATATTTCTTTGTAAAAACACAATCAACGGTATAAAAGTTAATACTTCGTATGAATCACTACTGATCTCGTTTATTTCTGTGTTAATTTTTGTATCGTTTTATTTATTTGTTTTGTTGTGTCTGGAATGTTCAGATAGTCATGCAATATCATATTCTCACCAGGCGTTCTTTCTCAGCAGTCTCTAATTTTCTCCGAAGTTCTTTCCTGTCTGTCTGTAAGTATGCAATCTTCTGGTCGAGTATTTTAGTCGCTTTGGGGATAACATCCAGTCTTACATCGGATTCCTGAATAAACATGAACAATTTAACATGAATTTATTATTTTGTATGTCGTATTGAAGACGATGATGATAATAATGCTAATAAAGGTGAAGATTTATTTATTATGTGAAACAAACTGAAATTTTAACCAATAACATAATGCAATGACTATAATAACTATGTATTAATTACTTTGTAATCTGCAACTACAATCATGAAGTAATATAGAGTTACTTGGAATACATTATTTATGTGTCTTAAATAGACCTTCAGTCCAAGTCGGAAGGTTCACGGAAACCAGATATCTCATCTTAGAGAGCCTTGGAACCTGTGAAACCTTTGCAAATTGCGACTATTAAATCAGACCCCATTGAACCACACATCACTATATATAGCTTTAGATTGTGACATCCTTATTTTATTGTGTTTATAATCATCAAATAATTTGTTTTTTTTTCTACCTGGCATTCCTTGCGGCTGTCTTCAAGTTGAACGCAAAGTTCTTCCTTTTCCTCGATCAACTTTGAAGCAAGTACATGTCGATTTTTGCCATCTTGACTAACAGACTCGAACTGATCTTTCAGTATCTATCAGAATAAATTAAATCAAATTTATTAAAGATTGGTTCAATTGTACATGTATCATGAGATGGGTAACTAACTCTTTTTAATAGTGATAGAACGTGTGTTTGAAAAAATAATGTTAATGAAAATAGTTTATACTTTGGTACCATAATATTATGAGCATTTTGTTTCAAGTCAAGTCAATTATAGGTTTATTATTTAAAAAATACAACAAATTTGATAAAGAAATATTCAAGAAAAAATGAATTTTCACCAAAAGCATGAATCTCTAAATTTCACAAAATTGTCGTTATCAAGAATACTTCTCGAATCGACGGAATGTCAACAAAAATCATTTTGGAAACAAAAGTATTTCAATTCTAAGAGGAAGAATGACAGTAATAATCTTGTAAATACCTGATATTGTGTCTGACTGTTTTGAAGTTGTGTCAAAAGATCGGCCCTATCTTTCTCCCATTTCAAAGTTTCTTCTTCAAATTCCGCTTTCTCGCCTTCTGCTGCGGCGACTTTCTGTTCTAAGATCTGTAGAAAATAGGCAAATGGATACATTAAGAGGTTAGAAGAATAAAAGAGATTCATGATATAATTAAGTAACTCGTCACTCGTTTATAGAATGCTTGAAGCTTCGACGCGAAGTCATAACAATCTAAGCGTCTAAGAGAGTCATGTTTTATTTGATATTGAGGAAAGAGTCATATTATATAAGGATAAATTGTTTATTCTGTTGAAAATGAGCCAATAATTGAAAGACATCGACAAATCTGTGAACTGATGATATATTTTCTCATTTATAAAATGAGGAGACTGTAATTCTGTCCTTATTTTAGAATACATATCCCTATTTGAATTGCACTGGAAAATAATCCATTGTAAAGTCTCTTTGAAATGTGTTACCTGACATAGCGCCGTATTTTTCTCAAGCTCCTCGAATAGTCCATCCTCTAATTGACTCTCAACCGATGTAGTTTCCTGGCGGAGCTTCTCATTGTTTTCACTCAGAATTTCAACCTCTTCCTGGAGATGCTGGTCGTGAGAAAATTTCAAACAGATATGAATATGTTAAAGAAAACATGTGATTTTTGTTTAAAGTATGTCTGTAGCAAAAACGAAAACACTTAACCATCAACATAATTAACTTGAAAACTTAATTCGGCAAAGAATTTTGATAGGGAAGAACAAATTCTTACTGCATAGAATTTTAACTATTACAATACAGTGTGTATTACCAAAATATAATATGTTTCAAAATTGCGGCTAAAATTTTGCCTTCTTCATTATATTTCAAAACGTCAAATGTGTCAGAAAACATGATTTTATAACAACATATATTCCATGGTTGCTATACTGTACATACCTTGATTAGATTACGCATGGATCCGAGTGAAGTAGAAAGGAGTTTATTTTCCTCCTTCAGTTTGGTAGCAAGTTCTTGTTCCTCGCCTTCTGCTTCTAAAGAATCCAGTTTATCTTCCAAAACCTGTTAGGAAGAGATGAAACTTGTTTCATATACAGTTGTTTTTTTCAAAGTCAAGAGAAGAGAATTGATGATTTCACAGTTTCTTTTCAAACGATATATCAGTCAATGCACATAAGTCCTTCTTCAGAACACGGTGTATTGTATAATTTTTTTGGTAGAAGTTACAATTAATTAAGTAACTACTCTGATACTAATTAGCCTATCAAAAGATCAAGATCAAAGACTGATTGATGTTTGCATGAAAAGAGGATCGTTATTGGTATGTGGATTCGAGGTAACTGGTATACTTGCAATTCAAGTATCAGACTTTGGTGTTTTTATGTACAGGGTCCATGTACTTTTGCAAAGTATGAAAGCATTGAGGATTTTTTAACGCGAAATCGAAAAAATAATATATAACACATCTAAACATGAATGTATAATGAATCATCGTTTGAAGTTAATCTTATTTGTCAATGATTGTCTTTTATCATGTGAAAATCATAGCTGTTAAAATCCATCAAATAACTTGACTTACATGCCTCTCTGTGTAAGCCTGCCCTAACTCAGTTGATAGCTTATAGTTATCATCAGCCAAGTTGTCAGCGAGAGATTGAAACTCTAGCTTCTCCTCAAGTAAAATGTCGAATTCTTTATCCAGGTCCTATGAGAGAGAGAGAGAGAGAGAGAGAGAGAGAGAGAGAAAGAGAGAGGGGAGAGAAAGAGAGAGAGAGGGGGGAGAGAAAGAGGAGAGAGAGAGAGAGAGAGAGAGACGAAGAGGGGGTGGGGATAGAAAGAAACGAACAGACAGACGGACAGAGGCAGAGTGAGAGAGAGAGAAAGTTAAGTAATTATATCATTGTTCAATAGAGTAATGTAATTTCGTTATGAAAGTATTGTGCAACTGTAATATTGAGATATTTTTCAAAGTGATTCTTTATATTTCTAATTTAATCAAAGTTACCTGATATTTCTGATTGGCCTCCTCAAGCTGAGTTGAGAGATCGTCTTGTTTCTCTGCCTGACAATCAGGATGTCTCTTTTCAGGATCTGCTTTCTTCCTAATAACCTGGATTTTCTCCCCCAGTACCTAAATGAATAAATTAAATATAATATAAAACAATGTACTTAAATATATCGGGGGAAAATACATTTAAAATATATAATTAATTTATATTAAACCACTGGCATAATGATAGCTCTTACAAAGAATAATTGTAATAGTCTAGTTTGTACATTTGATTTTTTTTTAAATTCTTGTTTCCAAACTCCGTTTACATCACGTGGTGTGTTATTCCAAGGGTTTGAGTCTGTATCCTGCGCAACTCAGCGCTATACAAGTTACTAATCTTGAGTCAATCAATATTTCTATATAATTTTCTTTGCTGTAGATAGCATTTGATTATACTTTGTAAACTTATTTTCTTTCCTGTCCTAATCTTTGTGGTGAACTTGTTAATTTTTCAATCTATCTTGTTTAAAACAAACTTACTCAGAAGAAAAACCCAAGAAATCTTACCTGACGCTGTTTAGGTGCAGTTCTAAGTTGAAATTTCTGTTCATGTCTCTCCTCTTTAAAACTATCAGAGCGAGGCTGGAATGAATCTCTCTCCTCCTCCAATGGTTCTCTCTCCTCCTCCAATGGTTCTCTCTCCTCCTCCAGTGGTTTTATCTCGTCATCCCATTCTAGACCGCCCTCTTGGTCCTCAACAGTAAAACTCTCTTCTGGTTCCTAGGAAAATCAATAATAATCTCTGTATAATAAATACACTTCAAGGCAGGATAATTAAGAAAAGTGTAACAAAATTATGGATTCTGGATTTATGTTTACTTAAAAAAACACTAACTTTGTCCGTTTCCAGTTTCTAGAATGTTCTTGATTTTCCTTCCTGTCCTAACATTTGTGATGAACGTGTTACATTTTCAATCTATCTTGCTACATGTAAAACAAACTCACTCAGAAAACAGACTTATAAGAAATTGTACCTGACGTTGTTTGGGGGTCTTCTTGAGTTGAAATTTCTGTTCATGTCCCTCCTCTTTAAAACTATCAGAGCGAGGCTGGAATGATTCTCTCTCCTCTGGCAGTGGTTCTCTATCTTCTGGCAGTGGTTCCATGTCGTCATCCCATTCAAAATCATTCTCTTGGTCCTCAGCAGTGAAACTCTCTTCTGGTTCCTATGAAAAATGAATAATAATCTCTGGTATAATAAATGCACTACAAGGCAGGATTATTATTTAAGATTGTAACTAAATTATGGATTTTTGATTTATGTTTACTTGAGAAAACACTAACTTTGTCCGTTGTCCGTTTCTAGAATGCCATATTTTCCATTTGTCTAGGTTGTGTTTAATGTAGGTTTAAAAAACAAACATTTTGAATTGTGATTTTGTATTTTGTATACCTGATATTGCTGGCGACGTTTACTGAGCTGAGCTGAAAGTTCGTCTTTCTCTTTCTCCAAGCTGATTGTACGAACTTGCAGTTCTTGTTTCTCCGCATACACAGCCGCGAATCCCTCGTCCAATTCCTATCAAAATGAATTCAATTTGCACAGTAAATCTACATTAAGCAAATATGGAGCTGGAGAAAAAACGAAAGTCATAGAAAAAAATTGTAACTGAAGGTATAAGATTGTCTATACATCTATTTTCGATACCATTTTAAGTTTAACTCATCTTAATCTTTCGAAGATATTGTCATTACACAATGGATATAAAATAAACCTATCGAAACATAGAGTATTAGAGTATTTTCAATCATCATTGAGAGTTTATACCTGGTATTGTTTGCGAGTCTCACTGAGCTGAGCCGACAAATCATCTCTCCCCTTTTCCATGATTTCTGCGCGAGATTGAAGCTGTTCTTTCTCTTCATTCACAGCAGTTAACTTATTGTCCAGTTCCTACATGTATATCAAATAAAAAATAAATACTGGATTGATATTTGTTTCAAAGAAACCGATGGAGATTAGGAGGCGGAGAACCGGCGAACTATACACTTACACTAATTTCATGAATTCATGATATTTTATCATAAGTGAACATTGATTCAAAATCATGTTGCTAAATCCTAACAAATAAGTATACCAATACGGCAAATGAAAGAAGGAACAGAAATATTTTTTTAAAAAACATACAAATTAACTTACCCTCTTGTCCTTCTGTCATTAGTATTATTATTTTCCATTTTTCTAGGTTGTGTTTAATGCAGGCTTTAAAAAAAGCACATTTTGACTTGTGGTTTTGTATCTTGTATACCTGATATTGCTGGAGACCTTTACTGTGCTGAGCTGAAAGTTCGTCTTTTTCTTGCTCCAAGCTGATAGTACGAACTTGCAGTTCTTGTTTCTCCGCATACACAGCCGCGAATCCCTCGTCCAATTCCTATCAAAATGAATTCAATTTGCACAGTAAATCTACATTAAACAGATAAGGAGCTGGAGAGAAAACGAAAGCCATGGAATTTCTTTATTCAACTGAAGGCACAAGATTGTCTAAGCATTTATTTTCAATATCATTTTAGGTTTAACTCTTCTTAATCTTTCGAAGATATGGTGATTACATTAAACAGATATTAATAAACCTAGTAATCATGATTGAGTGTTTATACCTGGTATTGTTTGCGAGTCTCACTGAGCTGAGCCGACAAATCATCTCTCCCCTCTTCCATTCTGTCAGCGCGAGATTGGAAATGTTCTTTCTCTTCATTCACAGCTGTTAATTGATTGTCCAGTTCCTACATCAAATAAGAATAAATACTGGATTGATATTTGTGTCAAAGAAACCGATGGAGATTAGGAGGCGGAGAACCGGCGAACTAAACACTTAAAATAATTTCATGAATTCATTATATTTTATCATAGGTGAACATTGATTCAAAATCATATTGCTAAATCCTAACATATAAGTATCCCAATAAGTTGCAAATGAAGGAAGGAAGGAACAGAATTATTATTTATTAAACATAAAGATTAACTTACCTTCTTGTCCTTCTGTTATTAGTATTATTATTTTCCATTATTTTAGGTTGTGTTTAATGCAGGCTTTAAATAAAAAGCACATTTTGACTTGTGGTTTTGTATTTTGTATACCTGATATTGCTGGAGACATTTACTGAGCTGAGCTGAAAGTTCGTCTTTCTCATTCTCCAAGCAGATAGTACGAACTTTCAGTTCTTGTTTCTCCGCATACACAGCCGCGAATCCCTCGTCCAATTCCTATCAAAATGAATTCAATTTGCACAGTAAATCTACATTAAACAGATAAGGAGCTGGAGAGAAAACGAAAACCATGGAATTTCTTTATTCACCTGAAGGCACAAGATTGTCTATAAATTTATTTTCAATATCATTTTAGGTTTAACTCATCTTAACCTTTCGAAGATATTGTCATTACATTAAACTGGTATTAAATAAACCTAGTAATCATCATGAGTGTTTATACCTGGTATTGTTTGCGAGTCTCACTGAGCTGAGCCGACAAATCATCTCTCCCCTCTTCCATTCTGTCAGCGCGAGATTGGAAATGTTCTTTCTCTTCATTCACAGCTGTTAATTGATTGTCCAGTTCCTACATCAAATAAGAATAAATACTGGATTGATATTTGTGTCAAAGAAACAGATGGAGATTGACAATCGAAGAACCTGCGAACAATACACTTACAATAATTTCATGAATTCATATAGATGAACATTGTTTTAAAATCATATTGCTAAATCCTAACAAATAAGTATACCAATACTGCAAATGAAAGAAGGAACAGATTTTTTTTTTTTAAACATAAAATTTAACTTACCTTCTTATCCTTCTGGATGTTTTTAATTTTAGAAGAAAGTTTGTCCTTTTCTTTCTTTCTCACTTCCATCCGACTTTCGAACTCCTTGAGTTGCTGGGTAGCTTTGGACAACCTTTCCTCCGCCCCCTGTTGATCACAAGAGAAGAAAAAAGACATCGCGCAATAAACATCATGAAATACTCAATTTCTGATGATAATTTCCGATGGCGTAGCCTGCAAAGGAAGGAGGCGACGTCTGCCCATCCCCCAATATCAATAACATCTGCAGAGGATAACATACAGGAAGCCCAAGTACATCTCTCTCCTTAGAAGAAACCTACAAGAAATCACCCCGTTTTGCTTATTTCTGGGTATTGAGAAGACTCATCAGTATCTACCCTTTTCTCTATAAAGCTTATAGGCTAGGGGGAAATGGGTTAGCGGTACATTTTGTTATTTTATTTGATACACAGCTATCTTTATAATTCTCACTTTCATAACAAATGAGGTTATTCTGATGAATCCCATTAATGAGGGTGGTAGTACTTGTTTTAATTCTAATGAACATAATGTTTTTGATGAGTTTAGAATAAATCGGAAGCGAAGTTCAGAAAGTAACAATGTTCTCTGTGCTCTCAGAAGAATCCTACAAGTAATCTAATTCTTGACAATATTCTCGTGTTGGCCAAGCTACCTGACAATCTTGTTGACTCTGCTCGAGTTCTGTGTAGATGTCGGCCATTTTGGTTTTCAAGTGAGCGATCTTTCCTCGCAGCTTCTCAGCATCTTGAGTCATGGCTGTTATCTTTTCCTCGTTGTCCTGTGAAAGATCATAGTCCACATCAGTGTGCTGATTGTCCACTTAAAACCCGTGAGCCCGGACCAACCAAATTGTATCGATAGGGTATAGTAAACATAATTATATGTAAAATCATATTTGCCCCGACTTGAATGCAAAACGTTGTATTCCTTAATAGTTTGAATTCGGGAAAGTGTTATTGTGTCCGGGGGAAATGCACGAACATTTAAGTAAAGATATACAGACTTTGAATTTGCGTTATGGAAAACGTTAATTAAAGATTTGCGAATGTAGGCTTACTATAAATTTTTAAAAAGTCGCGTTTACATGTATTGTCAGTGGAGAAAACTCATGATTATTTTTCCATTTTATTATAATTTCATTTATTTTTCTTGTCACTAATTATTGTAAAATCATTTATATCCGACTATTTTTTAAAGAAACGATTGTTTAAAGTTTTAAATTAATAAACAAGCGGTATAAATAATCTCTAAAACTAAAATTTACTTCTTGGACCACGACTACGTTGACCACCTTCTCCTTGCGAGAGGTATGCTGGGTCTTCACGCGGTGTTTCTCCTTTTTTTCCTGAAATAAAATGTTGAAAATATCAATAGTGAAGAGTATACATTCTATCAAAGAATCAACCATAATACATGCATATGTACATTTTATTGAAGATTTTAACTTTGAAGGATCATGATGTTTCTGTCAGAAATTATGATGATTGAAAACTATTAATGATATTTCGATATCCCAATATAAATTGCTTACGATTTAAAGAAGTATTGAAAATGAGTGAGTGTCTATGGTGGATAATATTCCTTAATATCTCTGTTGTGTCTTTTTACCTTTAGTTTGGACTTTAGATGTTTTAGCTTTGACTTCAGGTGAGAAACCTCATTGGCATGACCGATGTTTTCTGTCAGAAGGATCTCTTTCTCTCGCAGTGCGGACTGTAGCAAAGCAATGGCAACAATGTTAATTAGGATAAGGATTTACATTTTGCTCGTGAAAAGAACTACATGTACCCCCCCCCCCCCAAGGCCTGCTAAGCGATAAACCATCTTCTTCTACCTTTAAAAAAACAAAACATATTTCTCCCTTTTTATCTCTTTTTCTCTTTTTTTTCTTCTATAATTTTGTTCTTCTTCCTTTCTCCTTTTTATTTTTTCTTCATTTATATAGATTTCTTGTTTCTTCTTCTTTATTTTTTCTCGTCCCTTGTTCGTTTCTTCTTTTTCTTATGTTCCTCTTGTCATTCTCCGTAATCTTTCATCTTGTACTTGTCTTTAAAATCAAGCGGATTCTTTCTTAAGCCAAAGATGTTCTAACAAGACTTCAATGAGATAGATTAAATAAAATAAGAAAATGACCACATTGATTGATTTTGTTCCTACCTGCAATCTTTCTGTAGTTCTTCTTAAAAGAAGATCCGAGCACTCATGCTCATCGGAACATCGCTGGATCAGAGTGATGGATTCCTGACGTTCATCTATCAAACCCTGTAACGACAAAGAAAATAACAAAACATATAAAACACTTTATGCAAGTCAGTAGATAAAGGTGCTTTTGGCAACTGCATATATTATGACAATTCTTCAAAGTTCACCGCAAGGCTAAAGAAAAGATGAAATAAGGTTACATGTTAGCGACAGTTTTCGTCTATTTCCGATATGTATGTTTTGGTCAACTTTGCTTTTACTCTAAATGCATACTTACGAGATGACACTTTAAAAAAGATATATATATATATTTATATATATATATATATATATATATATATATATATATATATATATATATATATATATATATATATATATATATAAACTTCGTTGATCTGCATCGTAACACGTTGGAAACATCAAACGTTTAGATTCAAATATTTTTGGCGGTATGTTTTTGTTTCTCTTTTTCTTCTCATTACCCATATATACATGTACATGCCAAAAGAAAATAAGAGATAATTTGTACCTTTTTCTTCTGTACCACATACTCTATGTTGGAATTTATTGATTTAAGTTAATATGGAAACAAAATCTGTATCTACCTGATGTAGTATGGCTAGGTTTCCTTTCTCCTTCTTAACCAGAGTTATAGCTATTTCATGCTGTGAGATCAGATCATCTTTCTCCTTCTTAACCCGAGTTATAGCTGCTTCATGCTGTGAGATCAGATCATCTTTCTCTTGGTGCATGCGCTGCAAGTAGACAAATAAGGATAACGCGTCGATGTATCACTCATCCGTGTAGTACAAAATGGACTTTAACTTTTGATTGACTATAACTACATTGAAAGCAAAAAACTGAAACATAATCATTTTATGGGGATATTAAATATATCCCACAGAAAAGAGCTGCTTATCCCTCAAATTAATGAAGACAAGATGAGAAAAACGATCTTTTACATTAGGTCTTTGCATTAGTACCTTGAGTTGTGCTTATGGTGCACAGGAATAAAACACTATTTTACCTGGAGTTTTGAAGTCAGATCTTGCTTCTCCTGCTCCAAGTCAGAGAATTTCCTTTGCAAGGTCAAAACAAGGCTGTCGCCCCTGCTCTCTGTTCGATCATGCGCCTATATATCAAAGATAAAAGTTAGAGAATATTATATTCATATCTCATGATTAAGAATACTCAATTGGAGATGGACTTCTTTTAAATCGGAAAAAAAGTTTATCATATATAAACAAATCATATAAATTATATGAAAATAATACCTTTGGTGTGGTGAAGTTATAGGCGCTCTTCCGAGAGAACTCTGCAGTATTGTGATGTGTCTAGAGTTGATTAACAAACAAAAAAGGCATTCAAGATGTGTATCTATAGGCGGTGTCACACAGAGGCAAAACATCTGGATTTTAGTTATCCGGATTTTAGTTATCCTCTTAATTGCTGTCTGTCACCAATTATTCCATTAAAAATCCTCTAATGAAGCAAGAAAATTCTCTCTTGAAAGGATTTTTTTCAAGGGATTATTTTTTAAGGGATTTTACTGTGTGACACCGCCTCATTTCACATATTTCGAGATGATATCAATCAAGCCTTTCCCTCTCTAAAGCCCCTCCCTCCCCCTAACTCTTTTTCACACACGATTTCATTTTCAGTAAATAATGTTTTTATCGACTCCTTTCTAGCTCTATCTATCATTCAACCCCCCCCCCTCCATTTTTATTTTTTTAAATATATATCGATCATCCTAGAACGACTAGATTGGTTGATGTTGAATGGTACCTCAAGGTTTGTCTCCAATTCTTGTTTCTGTTTCTGCAAGACGGCGATTTCTTTCTCCAGCTCCAAGATCTGATTGTCTTTCTTGGGCTCGCTAGTTTGTAGATTCTATTAAACAAATGAATAAAATGTCGGTAAATTAATTTTAAGAAATAATACTTCGTGTTTTTTTTTTTTTTTTTTAGACTTCTTCATCTATTAATATTTCCAATATAGTTATCACTATGAATACAATTATTATCATAAATGCCAATAATAATGTTTTCATTACTAATAGCACCATAATCGATGATATTTTGAAGAGTTAGTAAGGTGTATTTAAATTGCTCTTAACATACACAATATGTTTATATTTGAGTATTTATCACACTTCATTTTTTCTTTCATTATCAATTTGTAATTTGTACTTATTTTTTCAAAAAGGGAGAACAAAATTAATTTAGTAATACCTTCAGTTCTACAATCGCGTCATCCTTTTGAACTTTCACTTCTCCAAGTTCCAGTTTCAGAGACAAGACTTGAGCGTTTGCCTGAAATTCAGCTGTTCGGAGGCTCTGAAAATGTATAAAAAGTCATCTTTAGAATGATTGCAGATCGGGACTTGTGTGTATGAAATAATATACTGATTTCCAAGAATGACTTTAAATATATATTTTTTTTAATATGCATTTGTTTACCTCAATCTTTGAGTCCAGTTCCTTCCTCTCTTGCTCCCAATTGGCATCATCATCGACCTTAGCATTATCTAGGGCCTGCGGGTTGGAATATAAAGATATGTACTGTCAATTTGTCTATATTGCACGGGTGCACAAATCAGTGACGAAATCATACTTACTCCAAATAAAAAAATTACTCGCAAACCTTACAAACTGGATCGAATTCGGCTTAAATTAGAAATAATGTTATTGATTATCATTTTGAATTACACATTATTTTTGTCATCAGTCGTATTCCTATTTCAAAGTAAATATGTTGATCATGGCAGTATTGCCTTGATGACTCATGGCTGTATACATTTTATTGTGACTGTTTGTAATTTGTTAATGAGATAATTGCCATACCTTGATCTGTAAATTGAGAAACTGGTTGAGTTGTTTGGTATCATCCAATTCAGATTGAAGGTTCAATACAACCTCTCCGGCTTCCTCGTAGCGCTGAAGCAAACACTGAAGAAGAAAAAAAAAAGATTATTATAAACTTTAGCATAATTTAATTGAGGTAATCATACTCAAGTTGGCTTCATTCATTCATTTAGCTTTAATATCATTAGTCTACAAAAAGTGCAAATATTTTATCAAGATTAATTTTGATAAGTTTCATGAGAAATAAGTTAAAGTATTTAAAGATGAATTCTTAGCCTCTATATTTTATTTGTTATCAAAATACCACTTTTTTAAATATACATGTACATGTAGATGTAACTATCTCAGTGAATATTCTTTATAGGGTTTCCCCGATTTGTTTTGCATAATGTAATGATGTTGTCTAATAGGTCGTTGTTTTCATTGCCCCTTTTATGATGTTCATTATAATATTTACTCTGTCACCCCCTTTGCCTTATAGATGTCTCTGTTGCATTGTTTCCCCCCTAATTTTCTGATATGATCAACCTATATACCTCAGTTTGAAGCACCTTCCTGTCATTGCCAATTTGAAGATCACGGATCTTGTGCTCTAGGTCACTGACAAGTTTGGTGGCTGAATTGCGCTCTTTTTGGGCTTGCTATAAAGTAGAAAATAAAATTGTATCAAGCACGTAATTTATAATGAAAGGAACTATAAAGCCACTAAGCACAGAAGGTTCTGACACAAAGCTGCTGTAATCCTATGAAATAACAACTGCTTTAAATCATGTATTTTATATGGCTTCTTCTGTTTAGTTTGTTAATACCTCCACCATTGTTTGTTTGTTTGTTAATACCCCCTTATACGTTGCCAACGTCAGAAATGATATATCACCTTCAGGTCAAGGGCCAGATAGTTGTTCCTGGTCTTGAGATCGTCCAGTTCATTCTCAAGTTCGACGATACGATTGGTCTTCGTCCTCTCAAGATCTTGGACATTCTAACAAAGAAAATTAAGTCCTGAAAGTTACTTTCTATAATACATCCTTTAATAAAAAGATATTGCAAATAAATTTACTTGTATAGGCACACGCATACTTTATACCACTGCAATTGAAGAGATTTAATGATTTTTTTTCCTTCTTATTTTTTTACATTAGATCACTTTCAATCATATTCCGGATTTACGTTATTTACGAGCAACCACGCTAAGTTACAATTGTAAATAAGAGTTGAAATAAACTTTTGTGCTAATAAACTGCATGAGTTCTTTTTTAAAATTTATTTTAGTCCATTTTAGTTGTGGTCTTACCAGGATAGACTCTTCTAGGTCAGCTTTGGAGTCTTTGAAGTCCTAAAAAAGATATATATAAAAAAAATCAAAGATCAAGATAACATTGGATATCATTATGACAATGGAAAAAGAAGTATTTAGAAAATATTTATACAAAAAAGAAGAAAGAAAAAAAGTTTCTTTACCGATTAAGGCGTAAAGGTAAAATTGTTCACTTGACTGGATTTTATTGTGCTTTTCAGAATTCCATTTGTTATTAACAGAATAGGAATTTTAAACACCTATTAGCATTTTGGCACTTGGCCTTATATTCCTAGCTGAATTCTTCAAAGCAACTACAGTAGGGCTTAAAAGCAAAACAGGTGATGGACAATTGGACATCAATGGCACACTTCGAATCTCAGACAAATTAATATCTTATTTAATCGTGAATTTTACCTGGATGGTGTTGTTGAGCTTTGAGATGACGTGGCGCTGTCGGCTCCATGTGGAGCTGAAATAGTTAGCTAGGCCAGCAGGAGCATGGTGACCGGATACTCCAGCGATCTCTTTGCAGGCCTTCAAGAGTGCCTCATTACCCTGAAATCAAAGATGGAAAAAGATTAAAGCAACTTTGGAATTACATGAAAGTTTTGTTGGAAATCAGAATGCAGAACTAAGATATCTCTTATTTGCAGATAAACTGCATGTGCATTTTCTTATAAGGATAGAAAACATATGACTTACCTATATGTTATTTTTTTCTTCCGAACTCGAATAGCATCGTTTTTTGTTTTGTTTTTCATGAATGATGATATTGTGAATCGCAACCCAAGCTTACCAGGGAATTCAGCTGGGAATTGACATCATCGGTTTTAACTACTAGCGATTATGGAATGCTTTTCGTGAATAAGTTAACATCTACCTGAGATTTTGATTTAATTTAGGCATTTTTAATACGGACATTGCTTCAAAACACGAAACTAGATATGGGAATAATATTCAATTTATTAAGTCTCAATTTAGGCCAACCTGATTGATGACTGCACAAAGGATAAATTAAAGACCATATTGTAATTCTAACTCCAATTTACCTTGATGGTTTTCTCAAGGTAAGCGGTATGCTCTTTTGAGGATCTAATGTACTTCTTGAAGGCTCGTGCAGTCCTGACAGAATTGACCTCGGAACCAAGGTTGAGCTCCTCTTGTACGTCAAACAAGAGAACATCATGGTCCTTAAAGAGAGATAGATTTAAAATGATGTAGAGAGAAAAGAAACAAATGAGAGTGCAAGGAGTGAGACGCAAATTGAGAGGGAAATGACCTTTAAAGTAATATAACAATTAAAGAGGCATACTTGTGAAAGTTGTGAAAGCTTAACAAAAAATATACTTTTTGAACAACTAGATGTGCAATTTTGAACTACGAGGGTGATACGAGGTTTCACATAAATCTGCACCTTATCCAAAAGATGGGTGAAAAGAGAAATCATCATCTAATATTCATCCATGATTTTGTTAAACGTGCGGTGAAAGTTATGAAATGTAATTTTTTCACTGTATTTATTACAGAGGATATAATTGTTGACTTCTGATTTCAACCTTTCATATCTCGAGCTAATTGTAGTTACCTTAAGTTGCTCTGCCATTCTCTTGATCTTGTTGTCTGTAGAGGACATCTTCAGTCTCAGTTTACAGACCATGTCTGCCGGGGTGGTGGTAGGCGCAAGATCAAAAGATTCTTGAAGGAATGTCAGCAGTAGTGTCACGTGCTGCCAGAGCAATGTATAACAACATATTTTGTTAGTTTCTATGCCTCTGATTTGGGTTTACACAAGATGACATAATAGCCCTTTTATAGTCATTAATTTTTAATGAGTTCGTTTTTTCTGTGTTTTGTTATTGTGTACATTAATTGTATACATCGTCACCCCCGCGCCCCTCTCTCTATCTATCTAAGTATTTATTTGTCTATCTATTTTCTCTCAACCTATATCTTTTTACATGTAATTTGTATCATAGTTCTTCTATATGGTTTCTTTTTCTTACTTCGCCACGGATTTTCTGTGATTTGAATGAATCCGCAGGTCGTGCACTCAGCTGTCCCTTCGTGTGGGGCAAGATGGTATCGCCCATCTTCCTCAGTCTACTTGGTAGAAGAGGAAGGTTTTTCTTCTGCTTCACTGTGACACTCATTCTAAAACGAACAAAAATAGCAGAAGTAGTAGTATCAGTAGTAGTAGAAGTAGTAGTAGTAGTACTAGTAGTAGCACCACCAGCAGCACCACACCTTGATACTATATTACTAACTTATATATTAATTATTACCACCACCAGCAATGCCGTCATCATCATGATCATCGTTGACAACATCATTTTCGTCTTCATCATCCTCTTCATAATCATCACCACCATCATCATTAAAACCGCCATCATCATTATCAGGGTCACATTGAACATCATCATCATCATCATCATCATCATCGACATCGACATCATCATCACCATCATCATCTCCATTTCATAGAATCGACGGTATACATTTATATGTATATATTATACTCCAAAACAAGAAAGCTCAATTTCACACTTATCACTGTAGAACACAAATCGTATCAATAATTAAAAAAAATGAAACATATTAAATTTGGCTATGCAAAGTACGCATAAACGAAAATGGACAATTCGTGGTATTTAGGGCCTTTATATTTTCACCTGAAAAGCATAGAAAATTAAACAAAACGAAATCATATTACCTGCAATGTCACGTAGTTTGCTTTTCCGTTCAATGATTTCCAAGAATTAACGTTTTAAAAGTTAATATTACTCGAAGTTTCGATAAGGCAATAGCTAAACGTGTTCGCTAGTATGCTGCATTAATCATTGTGAAGATTGGTTGCTAAGACAGATTCGTAACACGGGTAGAATTTTGGCTTGATCGTGACGTAACAAAAAACTTTGGACCAATGAAAGCGCGTATACACCCTTGCGCATGCGTGGTACTGGACTCACCTTCGACTGGGTCGTGACGTCACAATGAACGTCTGTCCAATGAGAGTGCGTATACACTCGTGCGCAAGCGTAGCGCAGGGAGCAACTTTCGGCTTGTTCGTGACGTAACAATAAACTTCTGCCCAATCATAAGAGAGGGGGCTGGACCTAATCATGATGTCCACACGTCACAATAGGGACTTTTAGATTCGCACGAAGACAATGGGTATTACTACGATCGACGTCCTTTTAATGCACTGCCTTGAATGGACGTCACACATATCAGGCCACGCAAATCTAAAAGTCCCTAATGATGTGCGCTCAACGATCCCATCTCTTTCGTCTCCCCCTCCCCATCCCCCTTGCCTTGATCCCCTCTAGAAAATCAGATGTTTTTACATATGGCAATTATACATGACTATACACAGAAAATATTATAATATTGGTAGAGATCATTTTATTTATATATTTTTGTTTATGCATTCACTTCACCCCCTTGAAATGCTGGATAATGCATACTCCAATAATGCAGGGTCGAAGAACTAAGAGATCAAGGGACGGGGACGTTTCTCAGGGCAATCGATCAGAGGGTCGTCCCCCCAAATATGATAATTTAAAGCTGCCTTTATCCATTAAAAAGAAAGGAGAAACTTTGAAATACCTGTGTGATGAAAAGTGCTGTAAATGCAAAACTGTAAATTAAAAAGTTCCATTTTTGGGGCTACACGAATTAACAAATTGATTTAGTAGGTTTAATAATCCCCAGGATAACATTAGAATGCAAAACGCAAAATTATTTTTCGGGAGAAAAATTCGTATTTTGGAGCGGGGCGTGGCGGGGCGAGATTATCCTTCATAGACGTTTGGTTGCTAAGCTTCAATGTCCCACCCCAGGGGCGAATCCAGGAATTTCTCCCGGGGGGGGGGGGGGCACACGGGGGGTAGGAGGACATATATATTTATTTTTGTTGGTCCCATAATTTTTTTTTAATCCCGAATATTTAAAAATCGCGCCGGCCGCAAATTCGCTTCATGGGATTGGGGGGGGGGGGTGAGTGGGAACTAATTTATTAATTTAATTTTATTTTTTTGGTCGGGGGGGGGGCACGTCCCTGTTTGCCAGTACATTTTTGGTGAATTTGGGGCTGATTTCAACATTTTTTGGGGGCCGGGGGGGGGGGCACGTGCCCCCCTGTGCCCCCCTGGATCCGCCACTGCACCCCCTCCCCCACCCGCGCACCGATCAGGACACTAAATCGTCGCTTCTGTCTATAAGAGAATATAAAATGTAAAGGAAATGCGTTGAAATCACAGGTTGTTAATTTATCTTATACATTATTTTCATTCACTTGCGGCGATGTATGACGATGCACTTTTTGTTATTGTTTCAATTTTTTTGGAATATCATACATTTAATTATAAATAGATTATAGCAATTTGGGTTTGGTTAGAGATCAGAAGAAATTCCAAGTGAAAGGACTGCCACAATACTGACATGCGAAAAACACGATCACACAATAGTAATGGCAAAATGTGTTTTCATTTTTTTGTTACATATTTACACTTATTGGTAATCAATCTATTAAGTGAGTTCTCTCATCATTAAGTTGTATGTAATCTATTCTGAAAAGGACAAAGCGAAAAAATGTATTGCCAAAACTTGGAGAAACTTTATTTTATTAGTAAACAGGAATACATGAATTATTTTATTAGGGAGCGAACTACAAGGGGAGGGGATCAACAACAACGATATATGAGACTATGCTCTTCGATGGACACTTACAAATTTAGTTATTTCACCAGGACACTTAAGGACTGGGACGAGCTACCTCAGATCATCGTCGAACTACCTTCTTTGGAGCAGTTCAAGGTGGCTCTTGAAACAATTTAGTTCCCTTTTCAGGAACTGTACCACATAGAGCTGTATATAACAACTCTATGCTTTACCCCCATCTACATGCTGAACAGGCGTTGATGAGTAGAAGTAGAATTAAAGAGTAGCGATTCCTACGATCAATATATGGGACCTGTCACCACGAAATGAGTCCAGTTGGTCAAAAACTTTATTCCTGTTTTTAAGTATTATATGAATCTACATTAAGTAAGCTTTAAATTAAGGGGTCACACATTAAAATTGATAAATTATATCCAGAAATATGAACAAAAACCTAATTGGACTTTATAAACAATGGGATTACCCAGTTTTAAAAATGCATCATTTTCGTGATAATTTCAGATTACATAGCCTATATTATTTGCCAAAAAATGTTAGAAGGAGATATTTTCGTGACCTAAGCTCTGGGGACATAAACTACAAGACATTAATAAGTCGATTTTTGGAAAAATCTTAAATGTGGTAGGTGGGTCAATTTTCAGTACATACACACTATACATCGCTATTACTACGATTGAGCCTAATGCGACACTGGACTCATTTCGTGGTGACTGGCCCCATATATGCAACACAAAGATAAGCATGATTTTTTATGTTCGGTTGAGGGGGTAAAATTCAGATAGATTTCCACATAGCCTACATGTATTACCAACCCAAGATGAAAATCCAATTGAATCCCCATTGAAAGTCCCCATTGAATCCCAATTGAATACCAATTGGCAATTTGGAGTACATGGAAAGTGAAACAATGGGTACCTATTGAAACCAATTGGCAATTGGTCCCCATTGAAACCAACTGGCAATTGGTTTGAATGGGGACTAATTGCCAATTAGTTCCAATGGGGACCAATTGCCAATTGGTTCGAATAGGAACACATTGTTTCACTCTCCAGTTACTCCAAATTGCCAATTGGAATTGAATTGGGATTCAATGGGGGCATTCAATGGGGATTCAATTGGTAAATCGATCCAGGTAGAAGAACCAGTGACAAACTGATACTGGCAACTGTCCACCAATTAGGTATATTCTATTCTCAAATGTATTAACTCCATCACATAGTTCATTTGAAATGTATTCAAGAGACACAATTAAAGTGACACAGGCTCGTACACATGTATATACTAAATATGTATATTGTTTCTTGGTGAGTAATCATATAATCAATATATCTATTGCTAAAAAGTGAATGGAATTGTAACATGATCAGACAAAATAATCTATTGGTTAATAATTGCCGAAGGAAAATAGAAATCACAAAAATGATGTGCATTGTCTTAATTTGCTTAACAAATCATGATAAATGTATTTTTCTGTTACACGTGTAAAGTAATAAATATGCATGAGATGCATAGATCTGTTGGTTTATTGCTTTCTATTGGTCCTATTGGTTTCTATTGGTCTTATTGGTCCTATTGGTTTCTATTTGTCCAATTGGTTTCTATTTAACATTGGTCCTATTGGTTTCAATTGGTTTCAATTGGCCCTATTAGATTTTAATGGGATTTCAATTGGACCAATCGGCCCCATTAGACTTTAAATGGTTTTCAATTGGTTTCAATTGGACCAATTGAAGTCCAACTTCAGGCCAATTGGTCCAATTGAAACCAATTGGGGTCCCATTAAAGTCTAATGGGACCTAGGCCAATGGGGCCAATGGGTCCAATTGGTCCAGTAGGGACAATCTGGACCAATTGAAACCATCTGAAGTCCTATCAAAGTCCCATTGTAACCTGTTAAAACATATTGAGACCAATTGAAACCAATTGAAAATTCAATTGGTGTTCAATTGATATCAATTGGATTTTCGTCTTGGGAAAGAACATTAAAAGCATTGAGCAGTTAACACACTCGCTTTCACGGTTAAGGTACATTATAGGTCTACTATGATACTGTAGACGATGCAATTTTGACATTTCTCCATAATATATATAATCACATGGACCACGTTGGTAATTCTGTAAGATGTCTGTTTGTCGATTTCTCAAGTGCATTCAACACGATTGTACCGCACATACTGATTAAGAAACTAATTGAGATGAAAGCACACCCTACCCTCATTCTATGGATACAGGATTTCCTAAATGAAAGAAAACAATATGTTTACTTAAGAAATGTTAACTCTAAAGTGAAATTCATCAACATAGGGCTCCCTCAGGGCTGTGTCCTCTCTCCAGTATTATTTTCTTTTTATACCAGCAATTGTGTAAGCACATCACCAAATTGTCAAATGATTAACCCTAAAAAGGCCGGGCTATTTGAGGGCCGGGGGGGGGGGGGGGGGCATTATGGATCTCGGCCGTGAAGCGGCCG